ATTAAGTTTAAGCTGCGTTTATTTGTTAAAAAAGAAATGATGAAACTGAATGTACTTTTGAGTATGCACATTATTATTATTGATTATGTTTTGAATTGTACACGCAAGTGTACCGAATTGTCTTACAATGTAATTCGTTTGCAGTTAAGTATTTGCCTCTCACTCATAATCATCAACACCCAAGGACTGAGTTCGGTCTTAAAAGCATTTTATGGCCTCCCTGAATTGAGTATAAAAAACAGAATATAAGAACAACGGACATAAATGGACACTTATTAATACTTCGACAGTCTTAGAAAGCCCTAGAAAACATTATATGCTGTAGATTGTGTTAATAATAGACAATTTTAAGCTAAAATAGTTTCTATATTCTTTCGGCTCAATTACATCCAAAGGAAACTAGCTCTTCAAATATAAATATCATTTGAAACAATTGTTCAGCAAGAACTCGCTTCCTCTCCACAAAACATAATAACAAACAATGTTTTCCACCACTTTTGTGATGGCGATCCCCTTTCAAAAATGATATTCCCTTGAGGTAGAGGCCTATCTGGCGACTACCATCTATAGCAAATAAATTCATAGCTGGACCCATTAAACACTTATTATACTTTTTGTATGCCACTCTTGTTTTATTGTCCATTGTCAAGTTAAGATCTGAAATGGAATAATTCCCAAAGCACCACCCACTGTGCATGGGAAAAATTTTCATAATTTTGCACTCCAACACCTTCCCCCAAAGAGAAGAGCAGAAGAAGCCGTCTATGCCCCAGAGGGGGTATCTGTCTAGCTTCGGATTTACATACTTATTCTTGTGGTTGGGTTGATGTTTTGTGAGCTGAAACCTCATATTAAAATGGCACTAATTACGGCAATTTGTTATTGGCAAAGCAGCAAAGCTGAGGCCAACGCCTATGATCACTCGGGTTCTTCTTTGCATCAACAATGTTCGACCATTAGCAAGATCAAAAATTTATTAGTGAAGAAGAGAGGGTTAGAACTCATAGACATGGGAGGGGCATACCTCACGCATAAGTAGGTAAAAGTAAAGTTAACAACAGAAAATAAGTGTAAGAAAAGAAAGGTTTTATAAGATAGCGCAAGTACCCTTTCAGATTGAACAATCTTTGATCAATAGAAGTCTGATCAAATCTGCCACAGCTGTATAATATAAGCTCTTTGTAAAGACTGATTTAAAGAGATTCTGGAAACATCTGTTCACCATCATTCATACCCTCTGTAAGGGTATTTTACGCAGAAAAAATTCAACATTAAGTGCGTCCTCTCCTACATTCCATCGCCCAAGGCCAAACACGCTCTTACACGCGCATATTGAAATAAATTTTTTATTTATTTATTGTATTTCGATTCCCTCCAGCTCCTTCTCTCCCTTTGGACCAGGTGATGATTTGCTATTTGCTGGCCTCGCTTCCAGTGGGAAAAAGGGGGAATTTCTGGTCTCTGGGCTCTGGCTCTCAAAGGGTTAAGGGGGAACTTGGGAAAAGGTTAAGTCGGAATCGGAATTAGTGCTTGGAGTGTGTGTACATGTGCTACAAATTGAAGGCTCTTTATGGGTGTATACCCTTGCAAAGAGCTTTATATTGGTTGCGCCATGAAGTTGGCCATAAATTTGGATTAGCTGTAGATTATGAGTTTTTAGTTTTAGGCATTTTATAGTCGTTAATTATGGAGTAGGCTCAGATCTGAAATAAAACCTCATATTTCACAGACACATTACTCAATGGATAGCAGCACAAAAACCACTTAAGTCAAAGGAAAAGGAGCTGAATGTTATATTTAAAGTTCCTTTTGCTTGAGTGGCTGTTCCGGTTTAATTTTGTTTTGGTTGGAAAACATTCTCATAAAGGTTTGTGATAAGGAAAATGTGACTCACGATTTGACAATGACTTAGAAAGGAAGAATTAGAAACTTAGGACTAAGTGAGAAAAGGTGAACTGATGGATAAATGTGGTAGCGATAATCATGGGGCTGTATTTGACATATTTCAGAAAATTCAGAATTGAGAGCTATTTCAAAAGATATTTAAACCATTATTGTGGAAGCTTCCAATTCATTTCAATTTCATTTTATACAAAAAGTGTAATTTGAGTGAAAAACTCGTATCCTGCTCCCTCTCTATAGGGTATTCCTCAGTTCTTATGCTGTTCTTAAACCCTAATTTCACTTCTTTTTAATGTGCTGGCCGCGAAGCTTTTCATTTGTTGTTTCCCCCTCGTTTTCTCATGGCAATACCGAAAAAAAGGGAGATTGGCAGCCAGGGAGGCCAGTCCCCAGGAGAAGGCTGGAAGAGGTGGAGCGGGGCCAGTTGAGGGTTAAGTATTGGCATTTCCGACTGGGAGACCGAGACTCGTCTTCATTGAAATCGAGCTGAGAGCTGCTGGGACGACTTTCGGCAACACACGGGGTGGGGCGACGGGGGACAGACACACGGCATGGCAATCAAAGGTAAAAAATCTACACCAACAGCACAGCCAGCACAGCACAGCAACAACAATGAGAGCAATATTTGTGCTCATTAAGCGTAACTGACACACGAAGTCTCGTTGTTGTTGTTGCTTTTCGTTTTTTTTAGAGGGTTTCTTCATTTCGCAAGTCGCCAAAAACTACGCCAACGGGACAGAGTTGCTGCTGCTGTGCTGTGACTCAATGGATTTTGGCTTCCATCCCTCCTCGATTCTCTCTTGCTCTTTTCTGCTTTGCGCTGCGCTGCTCCGCTCTGCTCTCTCGGTGTATCTCTCATGTCTTGTGGGAGAAGAGTAGATGTTGCTGCTGCTGCAGCCTGCCGCCTGCTTGCATTGTTTTTGCACCCATTACTTGTAGAGTTAGATGAAGGGTATATGCTGTATGCATATGTTTGTGCACTACCGCTAGGAATGCAGTTTATTAACCCACCAAATATAGCACTTTGCAAATCAAGTTTTTGCCATTTAAGCTACTAGTTGTAAGAACAATTAATTGTAACCTAAAAACTTCCCTGATGTGCTTGAAACTCCTTGTTCTTTAGCGCATGTAGGGTATCATTCAGTCATTCCCCATCATTCCGTACCTGGTTTTTGCTGTTTCTTTTGTGTGGGGTTCGTTTTGCATTTTCGTTCTGCGTTTGGGCAATTTGCAGGAGGGAGGGCGGAGGGCCCCCCCAAACGGCCAGCGAACGATTGCTATTATTTTGAGGTAATTCGATGATTTACAACTGTTGCCGTGTTTTGTAAGTTTTCTTTCTGCAGAATATGCCCACAGATCCCACTCTCTGTCTGTCTGTCTGTTTGTCCGGCAAACAACAATGAAGGGCCAGGCCAGGCCTCAACCGGGGGCCAGGCCCTCACCGCATTCTTTTGTTATGTTGGCTTTTGTTTGTGTGTTCAGTTTTCAGTTGGCCAAAAGGGTTTTCTGCTTGTACATTTTTGCATACCCCAAAACATCTCAATGGGGGAAGTGGTTTTACCTTTTGTGTAGAGCCTTGCTCATCTTTCGATTCGCGCGCGGGCTTACAGCTTACATTTCACACCTGTTGTCATTTTTCTTACCCTCGTTGCTCCATTTGTAAAGGGACAGAGAGCCACGCACTCGCGGGCTGACATGTAGCTGGCAAGTTGACAGCCTAAATAGCTCAGGAAAAGGGTTGAGGATCTCCCTCTTCTTCGTTCTATCTGTTCTGTGATCCAGATGTTGTCTGTTATAGATTACACATCATTTTTGTGCATATCTAGAACTAAGTAGTTCTAGTTTAAAATATAAGCAATTGTTCAGCCGCAATGTGAGAGGTGGAAGGGATGACTCGCAGAAAGAACAGCTGATTGCTCTCACATTTGTAGATGTTATTCGGGAAAGTTTATACTGAAAATCGAATGGTAATACTATCTTAGTACTAAAAGAATAACGCCTCCCGTTTTCCACACATGTTAAACTCTCGCGAAACATTTACTGACAAATTTCCCTTAGTTTTCATAAATTTATTGAACCAATAAACTGATGTCAAAGAAAGTCCATTGTTCGTGGTTTTAATAAAGCCAACTCTATTCATTAAGGGAACACTCATGATCCAAATTACTGCCAAACTCATGTCAAACTGCGAGTGCGAATCGCAACATTTCAATTTGCATGCGCCTAGAGCAAGTAGTCTCTCGTCGCATCCATCAAACCATGAACTGAATTTCACTTTCGAGATACAAATGCGACGATAGACTCGAAGACTGATTCGAGTCACTGCCATTTACTGCTATTGCGAGTGCAGCGGTACTTAGTGGGCTTTCAGTTTTCAAATCAGACGGCGGAAGCCTACGTTTAAAGTCAACATATGGGAGACGCCATCTGGTGATTAGACGCTTCAGCGCCAACCCCCATCCGGGAGAGCCCAGAGTGCCCGGGAGATCCCAACCATACGACAATACAGTTTATATTACAATTCCCTATGTCGAATGGAGTGTTTTGGCGACGCTTCGTTGCATTTTCTTAAGCACAAGCAACACATGCACTGTGAAAAATTATGGTTTGAAACTCGGGACTTAGGTGAATTTACTTACAAGGAGATGTGTTCACCACAGGGAAGTAAATTTCGGGTAGCAATAGCTTGTCAGTGCATGAGTGGTGAATAAGTTGTTGGTCATCCCAAAGGGGATTTTACTTAAAAGGTGGCAGTAAATTGCCCTTGCTTGGGACTTCTATAGACTCTATAGGCTCAATCCATTGCAGTCTGAGTTTCTTTGCGCAGTGTATTGGAGATATGGGAGGGGACGTGCCTTTCGCGTGTGGCATGTCATGGCTTCAGTGGTGCGACAAATGCTCATTTCACTTTCTATCAGCGTCTGGCGGCAGTCTAATGGAAGTTTAATTATGCCACAATGACGGCGTGCCCTCGTCTGTCGCATAAATTACATTGTACAATGAATGCCTTGATTTATAGTTTTTTGTATCCATCCAAACAATTTTTAGTTTTATTTTTATTTGGCTAATGCCTTGCCCATTTTGTAATGTATTTGCAGCTCCGAGAGGTCGTAGACACCACTTAAAAAAGATAAAAAAGGAAACGAAAAAACAAACCTAAGACAAGGCAAAGCAAGGAACCGACTCAAAAATGTCCGGCAATCAACAGCAGCAACAAAACCAGCAGAAGACATTAACCACAACAACAACAACAACAGCAGCAGCAGCAGCAACAACAAACGGAACAGCAACTTTGAACAATAATTTGATAAAAACAAATAGCGTTGACAAAATTATAAGCAAAACAGCGACGCAGGCAATTAACAAGCAACAACAGCAGCAACAGCAACAACTACCAAGACGCTCTTTGTTGGCACCAACAGCAGCAGCAACATTACAGCAGCAACAACAGTCAGTGCCACACTCAACGCAACAACAAAGCGTAACGACAGCGGGAAAGAAGCAACAGCAGCAGCTACACCAACAGCAACAATCACATCAATTGCAGACTGTGGCCACCATTCATCAGCCACACAGCACGCAACAGCAACAGCAACAGCAGCAACATCATCATCAGACATTGACTTCTCGCTTGCCCATCCAGCAGCAATCCACTAAAGAATTGCCTAATCTTGCAACACATCAACAGCAGCAACAACAGCAGCATCAACGTCGCAGCTTCTACCAGTTGCAGCAGCAGCAACAGCAACAACAGTCCCTTCGCAGTCCAAACCTTAAGGCAGGAGCACCCGCACACTCCATACCGCCTAGATACCAGCCACCGCCGCAGCCAGGCACGGGCATACTGAAACCACATTTGCCCATCAAATATCCGCCGGATATACCGCAGCTATCCAACATCTACATACCAGACTCGCTCAAGCAACAGCAGCAGCAGCAGCATCCACAGGCAACACGCTATCTGCAACATCCGGCCATCATTAAGGGAGGAGCAGCACAGGATATGCTGAAATTTGTACGCAAACCGGAACAGGAACATCCATCGCCCAATGCCTCGGTCACGTCCAGCGGCACTGGCATACCCACGACCAATGGGGCTGGCGGTCGCCTGACTGTGGAGCAAAATCGTCAGCTGCAGTCGCTGGTCAATGAGCTGCGCACGCTCAAGGAGCAGAATCAGCGACTGCTGGACGACAACCAGGAGCTGCGAGATCTGTGCTGTTTCCTCGACGATGATCGGCAAAAGGGACGCAAGTTGGCCAGGGAATGGCAACGTTTTGGTCGCTACACGGCCAGTGTGATGCGCCAAGAGGTGGCTGCCTATCAGGTGAGTGGGAAAGACAAGAATGAAAAGTGAATTTGGAACTAATGTGTGGCATCTTTCTTGCAGAACAAACTACGTCAGTTGGATGACAAGCAGCAGGAGCTAATCACGGACAATCTGGAGCTGAAGGAGCTCTGTCTGTACTTGGACGAGGAGCGCGCCCATGTGGCGGCCAATGCGCTGTGCGCCGGCTGCGGTGCGGCCACCAGGAATGCTTTGCGCGACGATGGCGATGGCTCCAGTTCGAGCACCCAAGCGGATGAGACCATCACTGCCTTGCGGAACTATGCTGAGCAGCGGCAACTGCCCCAGGTGAGCAGCCACATAAAGATGAAGCCACCGAAAGACTCTCGCTATAATGTGACTCATGTGCAGGATCTACGTCATGCCCACACGCTGAACGATCAGACGCTTCAGTATGTGCGCTCGTTGGAGCGACGCATTCAGCAGCTGGAGGAGGAACGCACCACGCCCACAGCCCATCTGCAGCAGCAGCAACAGTCCATGCCCACGCCACAGGCAGCAACACCAACGCCACAGCCAGCCACAGCCACAGCAACAGCACCAGCCAAATCAGCGCCTTCGCCACATCAGCAGGAGATCAACACGACGAGCAGCCAGCATCAGCAGCAGGCGGCAGTGGCTGCAGCAGCAGCAGCGGCCATCCAACTGCCAGAACCGATTGCCGGTCGTCCGGAGGCGGTGGTGCGGGCCCTTCAAGTGTTGGAGGTGCGAGAGCAACTGGAACGCGACCGTCTGGGCAATTTGGCTGGCAGTGCACTCGATCAGATGGACGATGGCGAGAAGGCGCTGGTGCGCGAGATGTGCAACGTGGTCTGGCGCAAACTGGAGGGCAGTCCGCACGGACCCGCTGCCCTAGAGCCGCTCTAAGCAAACAGAACACACAAAAACATAACCTAAACCGGGCTAACACTTAGTTATTAAATAAACGTTTAAACACCTAACTTATCAGTAATATTTAAACCTTAAAACATTGTACAAAGTTCCAACCACACAACCTAAGCTTAAGATCCGAACAAAAAGCGAAAGAATACTCAACAAAAGGAAGAAAGAAAAATGTTTACGGACTAAACCATCAATGGATGAAAGATCAAGGATTGTCTATGCCTGATTCAGCTTCGAAATCGAGCTTTAACTGGTCTTAAAGCTAACCGATTTCCACTCTGCACTCAAACCCTCAAACAGATGACTCTACAAAATCAAATAATCAACTCCAATTGTTGTTTATTTTCGATTTAGAAGAAAGAAAACAAACAAAAAATGCTTCATTCTGGGCATCACTTTTTTTAATGAAACTAAAGTAGCTGCCAGCGACAATGCCCCCGATGACGATGATGATCTGTTGTTCCCTTGATGGTCGTATTCCTATAACTATTTTTATATTTTTTTGTAATAATTATTGTAAACTTTGACTGTTATTTTTTTGTGGAAAGTGAGAGCTAAATCTTTTTGCTAAATCAAAATACAAATGCAACAAATATTTCCATCAACTTATTTATGAGATTTTAATTGAAAAACAATCTGGAATGGGTCTGCAATTGCGATTTCTTTGCCTTTAGATGTTATTCATGCCACATGAATTACCACAGAGCTGTTTAACCTGATTTTACTTGGCCAATTTGGTCATATCACATTTCATTCAGTAAGATCAGCTCAGTGCTTCTGGGACAGGATGATGCAGCAAGAAATTGCACAAAATGCATGACACACAAAACCCCACTTTAAGAAGCCTTTTGTTGTTGTCGTTTTTGTTCCCTTTTGTTGCTTTTCAGCTAATTCATGCACTGTCCAGCCGTGGTTTCGGTCGCGGCTGAGAGAGTCATAAGGGTGTGAACATGTGGGTTTTGAAACCCATGCACACTCCTCATTAAATATGCAACCAAAGGGGGCTAAGCAGCAGATTATAAGTGTGTGAAAAATACTCTGGGCGAAAGATCAGTGTCAGTGATAAAGATCAGTGGTGATACCCAAAGATGAGTTGGGGGAGGTGCCACTGTTAATGGTGAAATGACTTACAAAGTGACGTCTTCACCACAGGTACCAATACTCTTTCTCTATCCCTCTCTAGCGCTTGTCATTTGAGCGTGGTGAATAAGTTAGTGGGACTCGTTCGTGATTTCAACATGGCACGGCTAATGGGATCAATCAGAAGAGTTTTCACAGAGGTTAACCTTAAATATTTGTACTATTCTACAGCAACGAGTATTTTACCATTTCACATTTATTTATCTGGCTGCTGTTTCTTTGATCATACATCAGCGGAGTTCTTGAGTTTCATGCAACGAACAGGATGCAATTCTTCAACAATCAGAGTCAGTAGATAAAACAATTTAATTCTATATGCTCGTCCGTTGAAAGCCTAAAAGTATCGTTTGGGTGTGAAACTCGAAGATACTTTCGCATATTGCGATCAGCCTAAAAGTATCTTTTGGTTGTGTGCTCTGCTTGAGATAATGAAATAATAATGGCAATTTCCTGTATTAGGTTAACAAACTTATTAAAATTAAAAAAAATGATCCAAAAGTTTCTAAAAATAAGATATTTTACCCTAGTAATTTCTGAGCTTCTGCTTTAATAATGTAAACAAACTTTGCGCCACTTAAGTTGTTTGCTATCGACCTGCACTGCTTGTGTTATTTGTGTTAAATACTTCTTTAGAAATCAAGTCAAATCAACTCATTCTTAGGCCGCTCAATACGAGTACTCGACGCGACACAGTTCCGCACAGTCCACAGACTAAATGGAACATTACACCGCCGAAAAAAAGCAGCTAAGTAGAGATTAGAGATGAAAAGACAGCAGAGACAACTGGGTGAAGTGAGCAGAGAAAAGCAGTCCAAGCAGAGCAGCATCCAAGCAGAAGTCCAAGCAGCTGGAGATGTGTGGACGGGCCGCACTTTTCATTCAACTTTGCAGCGAAACGCACGCGCGCAAAAAACAAACACGGAGTGGTGCCGAAGGAGTCGTCACAGCGCACACATGCGGATGGACACATGGACATTGGAAGCCATAAAAATGAAGTTGATGATGTCGCAAAGCGGAGCTGCGAATAACAAGTCCAATTGCCATTTAGACGCGAGATTACGAGGCGGCAGCACCACCACAAACAGTGAAAGAAAAAAGAAAGTTATTGCTGGAGCCGGTTGTTGTCGTGGTTCTACTGGCAACCTGCTGATGCAGCCATTCCTCCTCGCTGCTGCTGCACTTTGCATATTGCTGGAGGTTCGGTTGTGCCGTGCGACTCCTGCCGCGGCAGCGTTGACGCCCGCCAATGAGACCGCGTGGCCGCCCATGTATCATTATGATATTTGGAACGACAATCCAAATGAAGCGCAGCAGCAGGAAGAGGAGCAGGAGAATGCCATTGAAATGCAGCAGCAGCAGAGTCTCAATCAGAGTCTGTCAGGGCATGGCCGGCATGGCAAAGGTGAGTCAAAGCCAAACACCAAGTTGCTTGCCCCAATTGAATCTCTCTTTATGTTAGTGATTCATTTGTTTCCCGTGCCCGTGGATGGGGAGTGCCTGTCCAATGATAATCGTCGCATGGGCAACTGCCTGAATGCCTACGAGTGCCGCCAAAAGGGTGGCCAGTCGCAGGGCGAGTGTGCCATGGGTTTTGGTGTCTGTTGTGTGTTCCTCGCCAGCTGCAATGTCACCGTAACCAACAACATCACCTACATCGTGTCGCCGAGCTTTCCCAGTTTCATGCCCAGCAACTTCACTGGCTGCCGACTGAGGGTCAAAATGATGAGCGAGGATATTAGCCAGTTGAGAATTGACTTTCATCACTTTACGCTGGGACAACCGAATCGCAGGACGGGCGTGTGCGAGGGCGATGCATTCAACATAAGTGGCGGTCCAGGCGGTGCACTCACGCTTTGTGGGCAGAATAGTGGACAGCACTGTGAGATGAACAGAATATTTCTTAACAATATAATCCTCAACTCATTTGCCTTCCTCCCTCCAGTGTACTATGATGTGGGCGCTCGCGCCTCGCCACGGCAATCCACGCCATTGTATGGCAGCCTGCGACCCGTGGATCCTCTCAATGTGAGCAGCTCGAGCAATGCCACCACTGGCGATCGCTTCATTGACATCAATCTGAGCCTGTCCAATCGGTTGCTGCCGCTGCGCATTTGGGAGATGAGCGTCGTGCAGATTCCCTTCAGTCAGCGTGCACCAGCGGGCTGTCTGCAGTATCACACAGGCATCGAGGGCGTGCTGCAGACCTTCAACTTTGCGGAGAACGGGCGGCACTTGGCCAACCAGAACTACCGCATTTGTGTGCGCCAGGAGACGGACATGTGCTCGATTATGTATCAGCCATGCGATGAGCAATCATTTAGGATTGGTGGCGGCGGTAGGATGTCCTCGGGCACTTCTGCTTTCTCGCTGAATGATGACGGAGGTGGGACGGCTGCGAGTCCCGAACTAGCAGCGGCACAATCGGATAATGCAGGAGGAGGAGGAGCAACAGCTGTCGGAGGCGGCACAACCGCACCTCCAGCTAATGGAGGGACAACCACAGCAGCTCCCACTTCCACCAGCCTCATGCAGATGCTGGCCAACATGGCCAACTCCACCACAACGTCTCTGATGTCCATGATGTCCAGCAATTCGAGTGCTGCATCATCGGCCAGTCCTTCCACGGCCAGCAGCAGCACAGCAGCCATGACCACGACAACAACCAGCACCACTCCAACGCCTCTGCGCTCCAGCACTGCGGCTGCCACCGAAGAGAGCACGAGCACATCCTCCTCTGAGGCGCCAGCTTCGTCGCCTGCCAGCGATGATGTGGAAGGTTCTGGCGGCGAAGATGGCACCGACGATGACGATGGGGGATTCCTTTTCTTTCGGAGTCCGCCAACCACAGAAGAGCCGGGCTTCTCGCGACGTCCACGGCCCGTGGGCAGCAGTCCCAGTGGCGGATTCGATCTGTTTGGCTTCCTGCGCAACGCTTTTGACTTGCAACTGGGACGACGGCGTCGCCGCGAGGCTCGACAGTTCTTCAGCACCTGCACGGATCGCCTAACAATGCCGTGCATCATCGAGGACTTCATTGGCACTGGCCTGGGTCCGATGCCTGGCTGTGAGCCCGTGCACTGCGGCGCGCAGTTCTGTTCCTCGGGCGTGTGGCCATGCCGCATCGAAAGCACAGTCACGCCCTTCTACATTGGCGTGCACTTTGGCGATGGTGTGGGTTTGGGCAAGGGCAGTGCCGAGGACAATGTGGGAGCCTGTCTGCGCTTCAACCAAGTGCAGTGCATGTGAGGGATCAGCAGGGATGTGTAGCCTAGCCACATTTCGTTTTAGAAAATGTTTAGAAATTCCTTGGAGCATGCTTACAAAATTATAATTTAAACATCTAGAAATTATGTGTTGCGTTTCACAAATATATTTAATATATTTATTTACTATTTGTGTACATCCAGACTATGGTGAATAATGTGCACCATTTATGAGCACCGAATTCCCCAAAGGTTTCAGCCCCATAGACGGTTAAATTTTTATAAAATATTTGTATATAATCGCAGCCCAACCCCATGTGAACTCATTCGTGTATAAATTGCAAAAAATACTTAGGAAATATCTTAGTACTGTTTCGGATTTCTTATCTTTAAACTTTCCACTCCATTCTGGTTGGGTGAGTCGACAGCGACAATTTTCGTCACACCCGTACCGATAGCCTTTTTTCATTTTGTTCGTTTGCTTTTTTTATGTTATCAGAAGTACATAATTCCCAGAGGGTATTGCAAATAATATTGTGCAAATAATGCTATAAATAAAGATTCATATTCAGAGAATCAATAGAAATGAGTATTGGAGAGATAATAAATGTGAGGATGGTATGTGTCTAAATAGAAAGGTGAATTTGTGTACAAGGTGATGTCTTCACCACAGCGAAGTCTATTTCAGCGGAGAACGCCACCATGTTAGTAATTTCACCTAGTGCTACAGTCCCACACATACATACATGTCTCTGCCTGTGTGCGTTTGTTTGCTCTTATCGGAATGCGTGCTGTGCTTAAGCATAAACAAAACAAAAAACATGAGAAACAAACGATTAGATCAACAACAAATACAACCTATAAACTATGGCCTCTCGTTGGGCGATAACTCTTTGGATTTCAGCCGAAAACATCCATATACAAAAGACTTAAACGAGAGAACTTTTCAGATAATTTTTCTAAAAGTATTCACCCGCCGCATGATAGGCTCGCGGGCAATTTAGTTCGGCATATTTGGCATAGGCGCTGGTTGAACCAACCTTGATCGCTAGCTGATTCGAGTGTTTGTTCCACACATGCACCACATACGAGTCCTTCGTGCGGGCCATGGTCTCCTCCAGTTTGTCGGGCTCGAAGAAGTCGCGCCACTGCTTCCATGGCACGGCATAGAAGGCGCCGCGACCATACACCTTGAAGCCCAAGCATCGCTTGCTATCCTCCTGCATCAGTGCAATGTCCTTGGTGCCGCAAATCTGTTGGGCCACGCGGGTAATCACACCCGGGCCATTGTTACCCCAATCTTTGCCTTCGAAATTGTGTTGAAAGTCGCGCAGGCAGGACTCGGCTATCTCATGACCAAAGCCAGTGGCTGCCAAGCTCATAACGCCAGCGGCCAGGTGAGTATTGGACTCGGCTCCAGTGTAATTGGGTGGCACATCCTCCATGTTTTGCAGCACAACCACATCCATGTCCAAATACAATCCACCATAACGAAACAGAGTCAAGTAACGCAGGAAATCCGAGATGTGGGAGAATAAATAACTGCAAAAGGGGAAGAGATTAAATGGTAATGAATGTACATCCATCAGTAATCTCTGGGTAACTTACCGCGAGCGAAAGACTTTACCATCCTTGAGCCACTCCTCGATTGGTGTGCCTGCGGCGTAGCGCCAGAGATTCAAATTCCGCAAATGGACATTGCTGTAGCTAAGGATGGCATCGACTAGTGGCTGCGGGCTGCTGCTATTGCGGCCGTGGGGGGTGGCTCGGTAGGTGGGACCGGCGAACAAGACAAACACCTGGAAATTCGGATTATGCAATGCCGCGGATTCGATGGCGCAGGCTTGACGGGCGGTTAGCTGCAGCAGTTTGTACTTTTTGTGATCCGCCTGGTGGCAGCTGGTCTCGTGAAAGAATATGCTGCGTCCGGGTGTGGGTTTGGGCTCCGCCTGCAGTACATCGTCTAGGCGGATGGGTGCCAGCGGGTCTGCATCTGCCACTGTCGACTGTGTTGGCTCTTCGATGTCCATGAAGCACTGCTGCAAATCATTTTGCCAGTTGTATGTGAGGGCAATGCCGCCAATCAGTATCACAATCAGTGCCACGAACAGAAAACGAAGTCTTCCGTTGTGCAAATAACGCGCCACCAGCATCAAGGGCAGACGCAGGAGCATGGCGAGGGCAGGCGGGTTGGGTTGGGCTGGATACAAATTGAACACTTTAATTAGAGATTCGGGAATACATAAATGCTACAACTTGCTTACTCCGAGTGTGATGCTACACTGCCATTACTCTCCACATAATTCAATGCACTCTCTGTCGATAAGAAAACTCCGAAGCGAAGGCGAATATTTTACAATGTTTTGCTAATATAAAATGCAAGCCGAGGGTGATAACGAACACCAACATTACCTGTCAGTGATGCGCAGTAGGATATCTTAACGGTAAATACGATATACGAACATTTCTAACAAATAGTAATGAGATTTGATTTCTTCATTAATTACTTTGAGGTAGCCAGGAAAGGTACGTGTTTGCAAAAGATTGAATTGATTATTAAAAATTTGGTGTATATTATTATTTTATCATTATTATTATGCTATCATATCATTAGTTCCATTTTTGTCACCCATTTTAACGGCCATCGCTAGAAACATCGACCATCTCTGGGTAAATGTGCATTTGCGATATGTGTTATCGATAGCTGCAAAAAAGAACGATATATCAAATGTGTGGAAAGCGGCGTTTTCATTGAATTTTTTTCTTAATTTATTTAATTAAACGGTTTCTACTGGCGGCAGCATCGCATACGCAACGACCGGTAGACGTAGTACCGCTTAAATACAATATAGCAAAATAGTGAAATGAATGTTCCTCCTAGCAATGGAGCAACAGCGGTCGGCCGGGGAATGGGATACACGCCGCCTGCCATAGTGCCACAGTTTCCCCCACCCGGCTTTGGTGCTCCCCCACCGCCCGAACTGGCAGCGGCATTCGGTGTGATGGCCTCAAACACGGAATGGACAGAGCACAAGGCACCCGATGGACGACCGTATTACTACAATCAAAACACCAAGCAAAGTTCATGGGAGAAGCCCGAGGCACTGATGACGCCCGCTGAGCAGCTGCACAATCAGTGTCCCTGGAAGGAATACCGCTCCGATACAGGCAAAGTGTATTACCACAATGTGGCCACGAAGGAAACGTGCTGGGAGCCACCGCCGGAATATGTGGACATGAAGGCCAAAGCCAAGGCGGAGGAGTAAGTACACTGAAGGCATTGCCATGGTCCATTTACTCACCCTTGGCCACTCGCACTTGGATTTGTTTCAGAGCTGCTGCTGCAGCCAAAGCGGTGGCAGCCATGACATCCTCCAGCTTGACGGGACTGGCGCCGCATGTGGCATTGGCCAGCATCTTGCCAGCCGCACTGCCCGCTGTTCCACGGATACCCACGCCCGAGATTCACTCACCGCTGACGCCGAGCAGCAACGAGAATTCATCATCGGCACTCGACCAGGCCATGGCGGCCACATTAGCCTCCATTGAGGTGCCGCAACCAAATTGTGAGTGCCAGCCGACCATGATTAAGCTTCGGGAGTGACTTCTTTATTGATTACTTTTAGCTAAAAAGGATGACAAGTCATCGGAGGGCAGTCCGCTGGTGTTCAAGGACAAGCGCGAGGCTATAGAGGCCTTCAAGGACCTACTGCGGGATCGCAATGTGCCCTCAAATGCCAATTGGGATCAGTGTGTAAAGATCATATCGAAGGATCCGCGCTACAGCGCCTTTAAGAACCTCAACGAGCGCAAGCAAACGTTCAATGCCTACAAGACGCAAAAGGTGAAGGACGAGCGGGAGGAGTCGCGTCTGAAGGCCAAGAAGGCGAAAGAGGATCTGGAGCAGTTTCTCATGTCCAGCGATAAGATGAACTCCCAGATGAAGTATTTCCGGTGTGAGGAGGTCTTCGCGGGCAATCGGACATGGACTGTGGTGCCAGAAACGGATCGACGGGACATCTATGAGGATTGCATATTCAATCTGGGCAAGCGGGAGAAGGAGGAGGCGCGTGTCCTGAAGAAGCGCAACATGAAGGTGCTGGGCGAGCTGCTGGAGTCGATGACATCCATCAATCATGCCACCACGTGGTCCGAGGCTCAGGTTATGCTCCTGGACAATGTTGCATTCAAAAACGATGTCACCCTCCTGGGCATGGACAAGGAGGATGCTCTGATTGTCTTCGAGGAGCACATACGCACGCTGGAGAAGGAGGAGGAGGAGGAGCGAGAGCGCGAGAAGAAGCGAATGAAGCGACAGCAGCGCAAGAATCGGGACTCATTTCTGGCACTGCTCGACTCGCTGCATGAAGAGGGCAAACTCACCTCCATGTCGCTGTGGGTTGAGCTGTATCCCATCATATCCGCAGATCTGCGCTTCTCGGCGATGCTCGGCCAGAGCGGTTCCACCCCGTTGGATCTGTTCAAGTTCTATGTGGAGAATCTGAAGGCACGCTTCCATGACGAAAGGAAAATCATACGAGAGATTCTCAAGGAGAAAGCATTTGTGGTGCAGGCTAAGACATCATTCGAGGACTTTGCCACGGTAGTGTGCGAGGATAAACGTTCAGCCAGTCTGGATGCGGGCAATGTGAAGCTCACGTATAATTCGCTGCTAGAAAAGGTAAGGCATGAGGCGTGAAAATGCGTTTAGAATTCGTTTTTAAATTCACTTTTTGTGTCAGGCGGAGGCCATTGAAAAGGAGCGCATGAAGGAGGAGGTGCGACGGCTGCGAAAGCTGGAGAATGAAATTAAAAACGAATGGCTCGAGGCGAACGTCTCTGTGGCCGAGACCTATGACAGTGCCAAGAAGTTGGTCGAGCATTTGGAGGCATTTGCTGTGTACGAGAAGGAAATTGGTGTGGAAAAGATCTGGGAGGACTTTATCAAGGAGAGCGAAGATGCGTGCAGTCATCATCATTCGCGTTCGCGAAAATCCAAAAAGAATAAAAAGCACAAAAAGCGTGTACGATCCACATCGAGATCGGACATTGAAAACGAACTGGTTGAGGTGGAAAAGTCCAAGCGAAGGCGTTCTAAATCCCGTTCAGTAAGTATTTTTTAAGTAGTTCGTTTCCCCTAATGACTCTTTGACCGTGCCCCACAGCATTCACTGAGCTCCATTGGCAGCATCGAGAGCGAAAAGCTGCTAAAGAAGAAAAAGAAGCGCAAGAACAAACTGAGAGGAGTAAGTGGCCACCAGAGACACAATCTTTCCATCAATCTCCTAATTGTTTCCTTATTTATTTTGCAGTCATCGTGTGAGTCGGATTTGGGTGGGAATCTGTCGCCCAGCTTGGCGTTGCTGCACAACGATTCTAATTCGCATTCGCCGGCCAAGAAAAAGAAAAAGGAAAAACGTTCCAAAAAAGACAAAGAAGGCAAACGGCACAATAGACACAATCGCTCCACGACACCACTCAGTCCCGTCCAGTCCATGGATTCGGTTGGCTCACGCAACGAGGAACTAACGCTTAGCGATGGCGAACTGGAATCAAAGCGGGCAGCGCTTCTGGCACAACTCAATGAGCAAATGCTGGACGAATGATTGCTGCCAGCGTGAATTTACCACCGTAGACCATCATAGGCAGGCAACGTGTGTGTGGGAAAACTGCTAGATGCCTAATGCGGGGTGTAGCTCATTAGTTGCCTAGTTAATGGAGGGACAGCGCCTGCTCTTCGCCCCCCACCCAGCACAAGTCACACACAGCAAAACAAACACTTAATATAATTTCTTAGACGCAATAAGTTTGGATGTATAAAAACAACACAAGATTGTACACAGAATATGTTCTAATTGGAATGCAATCGATTTTGGTCAGTGTCCCCCCCTGCAAGAGAATAAAAAAACAAAATGATGAATGTAATGATCCACTGCTGATCCGCTGCTCCACTCCGACTGCCTAGAAGTATTCACCAGCTGACTCATACACTCGCGGGCAATGTAATTCTGCCAATTGGGCATAGGCGCTGCTTGAACCAACCTTAATTTTGAGTTCAACCGACCGCCTGTTCCACACATGCGCCACATACGAGTCTTTGATGACGGCCATGGTCTCCTCCAGCCTGTGCGGCTGGAAGAAGTGCTTCCAATGCCTGAATGGTACAGCGTAAAAGGCTTTGCTGTCAAACACCTGAAAGCCCAAGCAGCGTTTGCGATTCTCCAGCAGCACTGAGATGTTTTTGGTGCCGCAAATCTTTTGGGCCACGCGTGTCATCACCCCTGGGCCATTGCCGCCCCAATTTAGGCCATTGAAATTATGCTGAAAGTCGTACAGCAGCGACTCGGCAATCTTATGACCAAAGCCAGTTGGTGTCAAGCTTATGACGGCAGAGCTAATCACATCATCGGGATCGGCTCCAGTGTAATTGGGTGGCACATCCTCCATACTTTTCAGCACAACCACATCCAAGTCCAAATACAATCCGCCATAGCGAAATAGTGTTACAAAACGCAGGAAATCGGAGATGTGGGAGACAACAAATCTGGAATATGAACATGTTGTTCGACTCTGAGAGAAATATGTCTCAAATCCAACTTACTGCGAACGAAAGAGTTGACCGTTCTTGAGCCATTCCTCGATTGGTGTTCCGGCAGCATATCTCCAGAGATTCACACGCCTCAAGTGGACATTGCTGTAGCTTAGGACAGCATCGAAAAGAGGCTGCTCCGTGCTTTTCTTACTTTCGTTGGAGTGAACACCAGTAAGTGCGTATTTTCGATGGACAAACAAAACAAATACTTGGGAATTCGGATTGTGGAGTGCCGCAGATTCGATTGCACACGCTTGACGGGCATTCAGATGCAGTGGATGATTATACTCTTTATTTTTGGCATCATAGCTGCGCGTTTCATGGAAAAATATGCTCCGTCCGGGCGTAATCCTGGTCATCGCCAGTAGAACATCGTCTACACGAATGCTCGCCAGGGGTTCAACCGATGGCTCTATAGGCTGTGGCATCAACTCTGCATCCTCCTCTTTTTGCCAATTGTATGTGAGGCAAATTCCACCTGTCAGTATCACAATTAAAACGATGAACAGCAAGCGGAGTCGCCCATGGTCACGAAACCCCAGCAGCATGCTGAGGGCAAGAAAACTCAACCTCTGATGATCTACGTCGCTTAAATTTGGACAACAATATAATTTTGTGAAATAAATAACTATAAATAATTAAGTATTTGGGCAGATTCTTCATTTGAAACACGGCATACTTTTATCGGCAACAAACAATTTTCGTCACAGCCTTCTTGAAGTAGAAAATGCTGTAAGAGTACATAGTAAATGTGTTTCGCAGATGTAAAGTTTTATACTTAAAATGGATGTGGCTTACAATTTGAACCATTCCAAAGCTTCACATAATTATTCGCAAGATTTGTTCCCGTCGATAAAGACCAATTGGGCAACAGCCCATTGAAAGCAAGAAAGGCTCGGAGCGAGGAGAATTTACCAACTTATTCAAGACAGCGGCAATTTTTTTGCTTCTTTTTGGCGGGTGCCTCTCCGAGCGTTAGTTATTGGTCCCCACCACACTGATTGCCTTTTCGCATCTATTCTAATATTGGGATATTTTACTTTGAACACCGGTAAACTAGGGTAACTAGGGATATTTTACTTTGCACGACGGTAAGTTTTTTTTAGGCCAAGTCAAAGGAACAGCAACAGAAGGAGGCAGCGTTTATCCCTCCAGTGTTTATTGTGAAGTGAGATAAAATAAAAACCGCTGCAGGCGAGTGCAAAGCCAAGAAAACTCTTCGCCTAGAAATATTCACCCGCCGCATGATAGGCGCGCGGGCAATTACGTTCTGCCAATTTGGCATATGCACTGCTTGAACCCACCTTAATGGGCACCTTATTCGACTGCTTGTTCCACACATGCACCACATACGAGTACTTGGTGAGTGCCATGGTCTGCTCCAAATCGTCGGGTTCAAAGAATTGCCTCCAATTTTCGGATGGTACAGGGTTAAAGGCTGTGCAGTCAAACACTTGGAAGCCCAAGCAGCGTTTGCGATTCTCCAGCAGCACTGAGATATTTTTGGTGCTGCAAATTTGTTGGGCCACTCGGGTAATCACACCCGGCCCATTGTTACCCCAATGTTGGCCATTAAAATTATGCTGAAAGTCGTACAGCAGCGACTTGGCAATCTTATGACCAACGCCAGTAGGTGCCAAGTTAATGACGGCAGAGCTAAGCACGTCCTCGAACTCGGCTCCAGTGTAATTGGGTGGCACATCCTCCATACTTTTCAGCACAACCACATCCAAGTCCAAATACAATCCGCCATAGCGAAATAGTGTTACAAAACGCAGGAAATCCGATATATGAGAGACCAAAAAGCTGTAAATGTGAAAACGAGATTGAATACTTAGATTTCCATTTCGGAGTTCGCACTCACCGCGAGCGAAAGAGTTGACCGTTTTTGAGCCATTCCTCGATGGGTGTGCCTGCAGCATATCTCCAGAGATTCACACGCCTCAAGTGGACATTGCTGTAGCTTAGGACAGCATCGAAAAGAGGCTGCTCCGTGCTGTTCTTGCCTTCGTTTGAGTGAACACCAGTAAGTGCGTATTTTCGATGGAGAAACAAAACAAATACTTGGGAATTCGGATTGTGGAGTGCCGCAGATTCGATTGCACACGCTTGACGGGCATTCAGATGCAGTGGATGATTATACTCTTTATTTTTGGCATCATAGCTGCGCGTTTCATGGAAAAATATGCTCCGTCCGGGCGTGGGCCTGGGCAACGCCAGTAGAACATCGTCTACACGGATGCTCGCCAGGGGTTCAACCGATGGCTCTCTAGGCTGTGACATCCACTCTGCATCCTCCTCTTGTTGCCAATTGTATGTGAGGCAAATTCCACCCGTCAGTATCACAATAAAAACGATGAACAGCAAGCGGAGTCGCCCATGGTCACGAAACCCCAGCAGCATGCTGAGGGCAAGAAAACCCAACCTCTGATGATCTACGTCGCTCAAATTTGGACAACAATATAATTTTGTGAAATAAATAACTATAAATAATTAAAAATTTGGGCAACATTTTCTTCCTTGTAGGCAGGAATACTACTTTGGACATCAAACCATATTCGTCACAGCCTTCTTGAAATAGAAAACTTGATAAAAGCTTCTCAGATGTTAAATTGAAATTGGACGTGGTTTAAATTTGAATCATTCCAATAGTTGTTCCCGTCGCGAAAGACCAATTGGATGTTCCCTCGGAGCAAGGTGAATTTCCTAGCGTCTCCACCACAGCGGCAATCTCTTTCGGAGGTCAATTTTTCTAGCGCTTGCCTCTCTGAGCGTGAGATCTCTGATCCTCACCACACTGAATACCATGTAGCACATTGGGGATATTTTACTTTGCACACCGGTAAGTTTTTTTAGGCCAAAGCAAAAGGAACAGCAACAGAAGGAGGTTGCCATTATCCCTCTTGTTTATTCCGATGTCAGAATAAATAAAAGCCGCTGCAACTCTTCCCCTAAAAATATTCACCAGACGCATGATAGGCGCGCGGACAATTACGTTCTGCCAATTTGGCATATGCACTGCTTGAACCCACCTTAATGGGAACCTTATTCGACTGCTTGTTCCACACATGCACCACATACGAGTACTTGGTGAGTGCCATGGTCTGCTCTAGTCTGTCGGGATTGAAGAGATCACGCCACTGCCTAGAGGGCACAGCGTAGAAGGCGCCGCGCCAATACACCTTGAAGCCCATGCAGCGCTTGCGATCATCCTGCATTAGTGCGACGTAATCAGTGTGGCAAATCCGCTGGGCCACGCGGGTAATCACACCCGGGCCGTTGTTACCCCAATTTTGGCCATTGAAATTATGCTGAAAGTCGCGCAGACACAACTCGGCAATCTCGTGACCAACGCCAGTGGCTGACAAGTTTATGATTCCAGCGGCAAGCATATAATTGGACTCGGCTCCTGCGTAGTTGGGCAGAACATTCTCCATGCTTTGCAGCACGACCACATCCATATCCAGATACAGGCCGCCATAGCGAAATAGTGTCACAAAACGCAGGAAATCCGAGACATGAGAGACTAAAAATCTGTAAATGTGAAAGTGATTTTTAGCTTCCCATTTCTGAGTTCCAACTTACCGCGAACGAAAGAGTGGACCGTTCTTGAGCCATTCCTCGATGGGTGTGCCGGCAGCGTATCTCCAGAGATTCACACGCCTCAAGTGGACATTTCCATAGCTTAAGATGGCACCGACAAGTGGCTGCTGTTCGCCGCTGCTCTGACCGTTGGGACTAGCCCGGTATTTGGGATCGGCGAATAAAACAAACACCTGGAAATTTGGATTATGCAATGCTGCAGATTCGATGGCGCAGGCTTGACGTGCGTTGAGTTTTAGTAGATTATGCTGCTCGGTTTTGGCATCGTAGCAGCTCGTTTCGTGGAAGAATATGCTCCGTCCGGGCGTGGGCCTTGGCTCCGACAATAGAATATCGTCGAGACGAAACGAAAATGATTGATTTGCTTTTACTGGTACTAAAATTAGAGACAAGAGCAAAAGGTATGCATGTGTCGTCATTCGTAGCAGGGGCTGACTCGGTAGCATGGTCCATTTGCATTTAAATTTTGAATTTACAAGCAAATGTAATGAAAACTACAAAAATCTGATTACATTTTTTGTGCCTACTTTCTGATCGAAATCCTGCTAGAAGTACTTTGAAATATAATAGCAGCACTCAAAAAACTTCGCTAACATATTCCCAACACAAAAGTGAAACCCAGTAACCCACGTCCGATGTCAAGTTGTAGTTCCTTTATGAACACAGAACAAATAGTCAGTAATCTAGTTTCAACGCTAGTGAACACACCCAAAAGCAAAAAATAAATAAAAATAATAATTTTAAGTAAAAAGTGTAAATGGTTTTAGTTAGGTTTAAGCTCAAAGTGGACTTTTGTTAAGTTTTTTTTTGCGTTGGCCATTCCCACACACACACATACTATGCACATTGTAAGCCGAATTTCTGCGAGTTTTCAATCATTTTCATCCCATAAATTGTACTTTTATTTAGACTGGAGCCGATAGTCACAATGGACACAATGGACATTCAATGGTTTCCCTCGAACTCATCTTTGCATACAAATCACAAGACTCAAGGAGATTCATTTAGACAAGCAGGTGCCAATGGAATTACACAAAAACACTGGTGAGTTTATCTTAGCTAACCGTGAGAAAATATGCTTTTAATTCTGAAACTTACCAATTACTTTCTACAATTTATATTTCAGATACAAAAAAAAACATGACATTGAATCAATTTTGATTTTATTTGTGGAGTAGGCCTACTGGGGATACCACGCTAAAAAAAACGCGCCTTGAACTCTACCAAATGCTGGTGGTGTGGAAAGGAGTTCTCTACAGTGTAAAAATAAATAAATTAATAATAAAAATATAATTATATAAACTGTATATATATGTACGAAATATTTCATTCAATTTTTGTTTATAGAAAAGAATTCTTGAAATGTCTAGCAAAAGGTCGAAAATCCACTTGATTGTAATAAAAATTGGGAAAATATTTTAAAAGAAATTCATGGAAATAAATATAGATATATCCTGGAAAATGCACACATTTTTGCATCCCCAACTACAATCCTAGTGCTCGGCCTAGTCCAGGTCCCAAAGCATTACATTTTCATCCAATAAAGAAAAACCCAGTAGGCCTTGCCAAATGACACTTTAGTTTCGAAATTCAGCTTCGGCTGACACTGCTGAAAAATATTCAGTCTCGTTAGGTAGCTTGAACTGTGAACACACAAAATTCTAAATTTACAAATAAATCAAATTTCCGGTTTTTTCGTTTTGGATTAATTTTAAGCATAAAGTGTAAAGTTAAGTTAAGCATAAAGTGTACGTTTTTTTATCAAAATTTCTAGCAAAAAAAAAAAAGTGTGTGACTAATTTGTGTGTCTTTTCAATAGTTTCGTCAGTTACTGTGTTTCCTTCAATCCCGTGGCATGGAACAACAGATTACGCGACAATTACACGGCACACAAAAAAAAGTATGTAATAAATACATGTACATATGTTGAGATAAGTTAATCAAGTTTGATTATAGCTGGTGGTTTGTAGCTTTGTTTTAAGAAAGTCATTAAACTGAAACTTCGTTGTACACACACACACACACTAAGTCATGCTCATGGATGAGGACCATCTGCCACACCTTGTAAAAGCGATCAACACTGGACACCCGCAGACCGCAATGGTCCATCAACACACATCTATTTTTGGCATCATCGAAAGTTGCTTACGTTATCAGCACTAGACACCGGGAAGCAGCAGCACAACAGACATCAAGATTAGAATCATGTAAATAACACTCGGATATTGAGTTGCAGTCTCAGAGGATACATCAACGGATTATTCCAGACACGAATTACACAACGGGGAAGGAAGGTTGTTCGACTTCCCCTCACACAACACAATTGGTAATTATTTAATTTCGTTGTGGAATTTACAAATAATTTTCTGCAATTTATATTTTAGGATACAACCTTCGACGACCTGGACACGGCTTTGACTTGAAGTTTGGGATGTGTGGAGTAGGCCTACTGGGGATACCACGTTAAAAAAAACGCGCCTAGAACTCTACCAAATGTTGGTGGTGTGGAAAAGAGTTCAAAGCATTAATGTTCGAGTAAATAAATAATGACAGATAAAGTTAAACGAAAAGTGATTAAATTACTTTGAATGCAGATAGCTTCAGAGCTTCCCCATGCCTAAAACAAGTGCATCAAAAACTCATTAGTTACTATTTTTAATGACATTGTTGAAGCACAAATGGAAAATTAGTTTAGTTTTATTGTAGAAGATTAAAAAACTAAAACTTGAACTCCTTGTACTTCTTTGTGGCCTTTGCCGGATCCGTTTGCTGTCGCTTGCGCTTCGATTTCTGGCGTGCCACATGCTCGGCCAACATGTCCGATAGATCCTCCTTTTGCAGGTGATTCTGTTGCTCGCGCATCTGTTGCTCATAGCGCTGGGCCATGGCATCATTGTCCATGTCCAATTCGCTCGGATCCAATGCCAGTTCCACAATGCCCTCACGATCCGTGGTGGTGCGAGCTGGTGGCTGTTTATTGGCCGCATTACCACCACCGCTAACATCATAGACGTGCGTGGAACCCATCATGGAAGCGCCTATGCGGTCCGTGCGCTTCTCCGGCAGCACTTGATACAGTACGGGTGTTTCATTGCTAAAGGAAAGTAGGAATAGTATGACATTAGTTAACGTCTGTCCCTCCCCTGGGAGTTTTTCAAGACTTACTCCTCCATTTCAGCTTCAATTTTCTTTTTACGCAGCTCAATGTTCTCGGGCGTCTCCATGCCGGCTGGCACGCTGGTCAGCCCTGAAGGTGTCACCAGACCCTCGACCGGTGTAACCAGTCCAGTTTCATCCTGCTGATCGCCGAGATCTTCACCATCCTCCTCCTCCTCTTCGGATGACTCTTCCGACTCGGATTCCAGTTCGCCCCATTGATTTCGCTCAATGTCAGCCTCATCGATGCCGTTCTGGCAAAGTTTTACCAAAATTAAATACAAGTTTTGGTGGGGAAAAGGTTTCGATACTCACATCCAAGTCCAATATGCTGGTGCCAAAGACATCGCCATACAGGGGCTTGCCATTCTCGTCGACGGGCGGTTTGCCCCAGCCGCCGGCATGATAACCGAACGATGTGCCCTCTGGTATGGGCGCATTGAGTCCAGGAATTTTCAGATTCGGATATGATGGCGGCGGTCCGTAGCGCTGCTGGGCAATCAACCAGGGCGGCGGAATCTTGTGCGAATTGGGACCCACCGGCATGCCCAGAGCAATGCGCAGCTCTTCGGACAGATCGCCCGGTTTCTTCTCCTTGAGTCGCGTCTCAAATTCCTTGCCCTCGTAGTAGAGATCGCCGTGAATGGTCATGCGGGGCTTTGTTTGCCACTTGAAGAAGGCATCGTGCAGTTTCTGGTAATCAATATCGATCTTGCCCATCTTCGGGCGTACACGTTCGCGCATTTTGGCCTTCAGTGTCTTGGCATCTTCGCGCTCCTGGAGCGACTCTCGCATCTCCATGATGCCCGTCTTCTTGATAAAGGCTGGCAGATCGAACGGTGGCTTCTCAATGCCACGCTTTCCCTGCAGATATTTCCGCTTGAAGCACCAATGGCGAGGCACTTGCACTGTGTTCCTGTAGGCCTTCAGTTGGACCAGCAATTTGGGATCACGGGCTGTCACATCGTGCATCTCCACCACATCGGGACGGGAGACCAATTGCTTCAGTTCCGCCACACTGAGACGCGTCAACTTCTTGAGCTTTCTTTTAGATAATTTCTCCTTGTCCTCCTTCTGATCATCATCCTCGTCGCCATCATCATCGTCGTCGTCATTCAGCTTATCTGCGGCCTTCTTAGCCTTAGCCACCGTCTCCGAGTCCAGCGCCAACTTGTCCTTTTCCACTGGCTTCGGTTTATTTTCCAACTTGAAGAGCTCAAAGACTCTGTAGAACTGGCGATACATGGGCGCCAGATCAGCAATTGTTATCTTCTCGGGCACATACCTATGGGTAAAGAAATTTATTGATTAATTTCCACCGCATTACAATCGAAAGAACCAACAAACATACTCAATTGTTACGTCAAGTTTGCTGGCCTCTGCGAGCTTCTTTTCCTTTTCCTTCTCATCGCTGCGTTCCTTCTTTTTCTTGCTGCGACTTTCCCTATGCTTGTCCTTTCTGCTATCCTTCTCCGGCTTCTCATGCTCTTCGTCACTGGCCGGGGCCTTGGCCTCCTCAGCCAATGGCTCTGGGACCTCTGCATCTGCTCCGGCCTCTTCTACGTGCGACAATTGCTGTTGTCTCTCGTACTCCAAGAGTTGGCGAATTTTCCTATTTTGCTTCTTTCGGCGTTTTTTCTTTTTGTTCTTCTCCGCTTTGCTCTGCTTTCCCGTTTTTTCACCGCCAATGCCATTCACCTGGTTCACAGCATCATCATCACTGTCCTCCCCCACGTCGGCGTCATCGCCGTCCTGAAGAGCTCCCCCGCTGCCACCCAGGGAATCGCCATCCACATCGAACTCTGCCACTCTTTGGTCTTTCAGGGCCAGCACATCCTCCAGCGCCTTGGGCAGAACCAATTCAGTGGCCGGTTTCTCGCCATCACCATCACCACTGTCCTCAGCAGCGTCGCCGGGTGCATCCACTACACTGCCATTACCATTCCCATTGATCGCTGTCGCCGCATTGTCGTCATGTTGCTGGTCGAGGCGTAAGGACATCAGTGGCGCTGGCTGGTCGCCCTAATTGAGAAAACAGTTATTGGGGGATTCTGTTTGTGGCAATAAACTCACTTCATTGATTAATTGGTCCGCCATAAATTATACAAATTTATAAACAGGCACAATTTCTAGCGAAAAAACAATTTTTGGAGATGTGCGACACCAGGGGTGCACCGAAACGCAATCGTTAGCAGCCGGCACTTTGCAGCACTGACCCGCTCCCGAATATCGATATACAAAACGTGTTTTGCCAGCTGACCGCAGAAATTTAATACATTTGTTGGTAAATAAGTTTAAAAATTATAAATAAACCATTTGTTGTATGTGTTCATCTTGTTAAAGTTACGCGCTGGGACCTCATTATCACCGTCAGACAGAAGAAACTCAGAGCGGGCTGTGAAAATGTTTAAATTCAATTTTGACGTAGAAAATGAGGAAGAGCCAGAAGCAACGAAGGGCCCATTTACCGAGACTAGCGTACAGAAAGCCGAGCAGGAGGATTCTGGAATTGTCAAAGAGATTGTTTGGTACGAGGCAGAACAAATTAAACCCAACAAGACAGCATTATCGCGCCTGGATCTATACGAACTCAATGCCAAAGATCTGAAGGTAGGCAGCACTGACATTCGGCACCTCATAGCCGGCTTCTTGCTTGAGGACATCAAAATCCATGGAGAGCTGGAGAGTCGCGACATTAAGAAGTCTGAGGAAAGTCACTCAGATCTAATAATCGGAGTGTATGAAGGTGGTGCTAAAATATGGGAATGTACGGACGATTTGTTGATGTATTTATCGGAGAATTATGAGAACAGCTACTGGAACGACAAGAGAGTCTTGGACTTGGGATGTGGCTCTGGATTACTGGGAATATATGCACTACAATGTGGTGCAAAAGTTGACTTTCAAGACTATGTAAGTACACAAAAGAAATCTAATAATTGCCGGTATATAATGTGCTTTAATATCTCTAGAACAAGGATGTTTTGGAGCAAATAACCATACCAAATGTGATGCTAAATGTGCAAGCGGATCTTTCGGATGATGAAAAATTGGCATTTCTAGAGGACAACACCAGTTTCTATTCCGGTGATTGGTCACATTTTGCTCAGCTCACGTTGGACACGGAAAAGTACGACCTTATACTAACATCCGAGACAATATACAACATAGAGAACCAGCAGAAGCTGTTGGACACCTTTAGCAGTCGCCTCAAAGCAGATGGTACTGTGTTAGTTGCTGGAAAATCTCATTATTTTGGTGTGGGTGGAGGCCTGGAACAATTCGTGGATGTAATTAAGCAGGAAACCACATTTGTAAGCAAAAATGTGTGGCAAGCAGACGAAAATGTGAAGCGGGGCATTTTGAAAATAAAATTTAAATAACACCCAACTATCGAAACTGTGAAATCGAAACGGCGTTTGGCGATTATTTTAGCACGAAGCCCTGGTGCAGCCGAACTGTTGTTGTTGTTTTGGTTGACCAACTGTGTGAGTATTTTTTGCCGTCGATCAGATAAAATAATTAAAATGCTTCACACAGGGAGGTTTATGTTCAGTTATAAACGTAGATTGAAACAGCCAATTGGCCGTGAATTAATCTTATCTAAACTGTTTCTGTACACTCTGCCTGGACGCCGCCACTCTTGACATTTAATCACCGGTCTCGCCTAATCGATGTTCGTCATGTCTGTCGCCGCCGATTTCATTGCAGCGGCAAGGAGTGCGGAGTCTGCCGAAACCCAACCCAAGAGAACACTTTGCTGTTGTGAATACATTGCTCAAGCCAACAACCAAAAGTCCCATCTACTGGGATGCTGTTGTAATTGTGAGGACTTAGACTTGGTATGCACTCGGTATGCAGACGAAAGGGAGACCAGAAAACATTGAAAATCATTACAAAATCTGTTTCTATAGACTCGTCACGTGCAGGCGCATTGATCGACGCAATATTGACGGCATGCTGATTGCGTTCCAAGACCGCCTGCGCCTCCCATGGCGGGGTGGGGCCAAGCGAATATCGCCAGCCGCTATTGCACCAGCCTTCATAATCCCACTGATGCTGGGCCTGGCCACCCTCAACTCGAAGACTGCTATTGTGCTCATGCTGACCATGGTGGGCTTCTCCATTTGGGGTCTTCAGCTGGCCAAGAAGACAGCCACACGAACCAATTTCTTTCTCAGCTGGACTGTGTTCTCCGTCTTCTACATGATTCTCATATTCGAGTGTCAGGTGCCGCTGCTGGAGCTTGTGCCGGAGGAGAACTACTTCCTAATGTTCTTCACCTGTGCGGGCATCTATTGCTTATATCGCACGCACCGCCTGGCTCCACTCAATCTGGTTTCGGCACAGTATGGCACCACACCCAAGGACGAGCTGCCCGGCATCGCCGAAGCCTCGAGTGGCGAAGAGCAGGCAGAGGCGCAGACCACACTTCAAATGGACAGTGTGCTGGACCTCAACGATGAGGAGGTCGTGGACATAGACACAGCAGAGCGTGCGGGTCTGATGCATGGCCAGCCGAACATCTGTGAGAGCTGTCGCAAGGTGACGCCCAGACGGGCCTACCATTGCCAGGTGTGTGGCACGTGTGTCAAGCGACGTTCCCATCATAGTTACTGGCTCAATTGCTGCATTGGCGAGCGCAACCATTCGTGGTACATAGCAGGGCTTTTCACATCTCTGATTGCATTGATTTTGGGAGCTAATTTGACTCTAACTTCGATCTGTCATCCGTTTCTGGTGTTGCGTCCGTTCGGCTATGCCCTGCTGCTGCCCGACGATTGCAGCGAAGTCTTTGAGAGTTTCGAGTAAGTATAACAGAAATCGAATGTGGTGTACGGAGTTCAATCAGTATTATTTTCTTTCCACAGATTGGGCATTTCCTTTGTGGTGGCCTGCTATAGTTTACTCATTGCCAACTATATAACCTTTTTGCTGGCGCGCCAGGCATTCTTGTGGTGGAATGACACCACTCTCCACGAATATAAACGTGCGGCTAATGCGGCATCGAATCGCAGTCGCATTTGGAGCAACTGGCGTGCCATATTAAAGTGATTTACCAATTAACAAATCAACACAGCACAAACTAAACGCCCAATCAAGGTTCATTTAGTTACTAGGTGACGTCTTCACCACAGGGTGAAGATAGAGCTATTGGTCCCCTTTGGTATAGATATCACCCAGCAAACAAATTTCCCTTTATATAGTATTCCCCACACACACACTCTCTCCCTCTATCTCTCTCAATGTTCTTGGTAGTGTTAGTGTCGTAGCGCTTTTAAGGTACTTAAATGCAATATCCAAAAATATTTAAAATAAATACACATAATTAAGAACCCATAATTGTAACTACCACAAACTATCCTCTCGCGGCTTGTAATCTGGCAATAGCTCCCATATCTTCATTCGCCAACGCTGTCGTCGCTCCTCCGTTTCCTTTTCTATTTTCAATATTTGCGGCAAACGCTGCCAGCAGTCTAAGACCTTCCATTTCAGGTGCCTGTTAAGATGAAACAAAAAAACATTAAGACAAACAACTCGCACGACTTTATGCACTGCTTGAACCCACCACTCGTGATGGGAGATGGACTGCTTCATCTTGGTATCCTCCGCCATGCGACAGTGCGTGGTGTACTTTAGCCAGCGCTCAAACCACTTTTCGGTGGTGCGCAGAGCATGCCAGTCGATGGCCACCATCATTTTGCTTCGTTCATTCTGCAAATACCCAATCCACACACCGAAGGCGCGTCGCTTCAGTATGCGCTGCCAGCACTGCTCGGCCCGTACCAGCTTCTCGCGCTGCCTGAATGCCGTGTACTCGCGCCAGAAGTGAAAGGCATTCTTTTTGTACAACTTTCGGCGGTACTCCTCGGCCTTGACCAGATTATCGCGCTTGCGTTGCAGCAAACGCTTGAAGCCCTCCAAGCCCACACGACGCAGCAACAGGCGGCGACTGAATTCGGTGGCCTTTCGTTGGTTCTCGATAAAACGCTGACGCTCGCGCTCCTTCAACACTTTGGCCATTTTCTCTTGGCGGCGTTTCTCCTTCAGCACCTCGATGCGCAGACGCTTGGCCTCTTCGTCCTCTTGGCGCTGCAAAATAAAGATGGATTAAACAAACACTTTTAAGGATCTACCATCCGTACCTTGGCCTCCTCTAGGGCATGCTTGGTGGCCTCTCGCTCCGCCTCGGCCTGCGCTCGACGCTGCCGTGCCTGCTCATGTCGCACACTTCTCTCCACGGCCCGTTCCTGCATGTGCTGCAGGAATCTCGGCTGCAGCAATGCCTTGCCTTGAAGTCTGGCCATGGCTTCATCATCGGCATCCCGCAGGCTGCCAATCAACTGAAGACACTTGGCCTTGGCCTTTGCCTTGGGATCGCCGCAGCGTATAACTGTCTTTAGTTCCTGCTTGAGATCCTCGCGCGCCTCTTTGGCCTCGTCACTGAGTTTGCTCAGCTTTAGCTGCATTATGAGACGTTCCTGACGCTCCAGCTTGATGCGCTGCAGGTCAATGATGTCTTGTTGGACCTTTAATCTGTCGGAAAGGGAAATAAGTGGATTGCAAAAGGGAACAGTTTTTTGGGATCTTTTCATACTTATTCTTGAACTGCTTTGCCATCTTGACTGCCTCCTGGCGCTGCTCCAGCGACTGCTGTGTGACCTTGTTCACCTCGCTGTTTGTGTCCGCCTGCTGGGATGTGCGTATGCGCTTCTTCTCCATGCGCACCTTGTCCAGAAAGGCGTTGATCTTTTGCACGCGATTGTCCCTCGTTTGGCTGGCGTGTCCCTGCTCCCGTTCAATCTTCTCCAGTGTTGTGTAGTGTATCCACTTGAGAAAGTATTTGCGCATCAGCACAATCTGTGTGTTGGCTCGGGCCTGGAACAGTTGCTCGATGATCTTTTGCTTCTCGTGGGTGGTGGCCAGATCGGTTTCATCCTCACTGGCACTGGAGAGATCTTGCGGTGGCTCTGGTTCCTTCGGCTTAACCACCACTTTGGGCAGCTCTATGCGGCGTATGAGCAGGGGTTCGGGCTCTGGCTCGTCCTCAGATTCCTCCACAGTTGGACTAGGAATTTGTGGCTGCGGCAGCTGGAACTGCACATGCTTCGTGGCTGCAGGTAAATCTTTTTCCTTTTCTTTTTCCTTCTGTTCTGCTGCCGCTTCCATTTGCAGCTCGTACAATGCCTCTTCAGCCAGATCGGATATGACCGAGTCAATGCCATCGCTTGTGTTCGAACAGGTGGAGGGTTCCCGCTGCAGCTGAGGTGGCTGCTCCAACTGCTGCTCCTGCTGCTGCTCTTGCAACTCTTCCTCATGCCGTATGGTGCGCACGTGCAGCATCTGTCGCTCGGCAGCAGCTCGCATCGGCTTGAAGAACTCCTCGGTGGAGGTCAAAGGACTGGGTGTGCGGCAGCGCAGCAGCAGCTCCTTACTTTGATCCACTTGAATCTGTTTGGCAAAGTTGCGATACTCCAGTGAGTTCATGGACAATGGCTTGACTTGCTCCAGCCTAAACTCAGGCAGCGCTTCCACCAGCGCCTCCTGCTCCACCCACTCGAGATCCATGTCCGCCTCCTGCTCAGCGCCCAGCTCGTGCAGCAGGCTCACCGTCGCCACACACTTTGTGTTCGAGCACATTAGTGCCGCCTGTCCCAAGGCCTGCACTGGCGTGCTATAGAAATCATCAATGTGCTGTGCCGCCTGTGCCAGACTCTGCATCAGTGGCCCGTTGTTCAGCTTGAAATCCGGCTTGCTGGGCGGCACGCGTATGTCTTGGCTTCTCTTCGGATGCTGCCTGGCCAGCTGCTGGCGAAACTTTTGCAACTGATTATTGATGTAGCGCTGCTCCACATCCAAATTGTGCGCCTTGGTGGACTCCAATGTGCTGCCATGAGCCAACGTAGCCAGCGGCAGCTTGTGCGGAATTTTCTGAAACTGAAAAAAGGAAAAGTCCATGAAGGGAAAACTCTCTTAGGAGCCGCCACGTCTCACCATCTCATGGCGCATGTCCATGATCACACTGGGATTCAATTGCTTGGCCTGTTCGCCATCAATGAGCAGCTTCTCCTGCCGCTGGCCCACGTAATCCACTTCGATAAAGCGACGCACGGCATCTGACTTTAGGCCTAAGGCATTCGTACTCAGATGACGCTTGCGTATGCGATCCCAGCGGCTGTCCTTGGACTTGGATCTTTCGCGACGTTTTGCATGAAACATTTTTATTCTTATTACACAGTTTTTCCGTTTACTTTAGTTTTGAAATTAAATTGATAGACAGGCTAAACAAAATTCCAAAACGTTGCCTTGGCAACCGGAAATTCTAGCAGCCGGCGGGGTGCCGGTATCCCATAACAATCCCCTGGGGAAACTTTAACTTAGTTCATAACAAATTGCACTTTGCATTCGAAGCTCAGCTTGTTCCAGTTTAATTTTATAATAAAAAGTGTTCACATAAATGCCATAAATAGTGGATAGCTAAGGTCGCTGAATAACAAATGATGTTTGAGGACTTTGCAAGCTTAATTTTTAGCAGTTAATAATCATAAGGGGTAGGGACAGGGTTAAGCCGCAGCTGGATCCTTCTTGCTCTTGTCCTTCTTGCCCTTTTGCTTCTCAGCCGCAGCCAGCTCCAAATCAATGGGTGCTGGCTTCACGAATGGAATCTCATCCTGGAACTTGGCCGGCATGTATTTCTTGAGTGGTTCCGGCACCTTGATGCCCGTCTCTGTCTGATGCGTTTCCAGGATGGCGCAAATGACACGCGTGGCCGCGCACATCGTAGCATTCAACATGTGCACGTAGTCAACGGCGGCGTTCATCTTCTTCGTTTGACCAAAGCGCACCAGCAGACGACGTGCCTGGTAGTCCAGGCAGTTTGAGCAGGAGACAAGCTCTCTGTAGGCACCGCTGCCGCCAAACCAGGCCTCCAGATCCAACTTCTTGGCAGCGGCATGGTTGAGAGCACCCGACACAATGTTCACAACACGGTAGGGAATGCCCAGAGACTGACAGAATTGCTCGGCATTGCCAATCATCTCGTCCATCATCTCCCAGGATTTGTTGTCGTGCGGGGAGGTGAGCACAAACTGCTCGACCTTCTCGAACTGATGCACGCGGAAGATGCCGCGTGTGTCGCGTCCATGGGATCCCACCTCCTGACGGAAGCATGTGGATAGGCCGGCATACTTGATGGGCAGCGATGCCTCGGGCAGCCACTCGTCGCGGTGGTAGGCGGCAATGGGCTGCTCCGAGGTGGCAATCAGATACTTTTCATCGGTGCCAGCCTCCTCGGCCTTTTCGCTGCCCTTGCCCACCACCTTGTAGAGCTCCTCGTCGAACTGGGACAGCTGCGCCACCTCCTGCATCACCTCCTTGCGCATGAAGAAGGGCGTGTACAGGGGCACATAGTCCTTGGCGTACAGCGAGTGCAGGGCGTGCTGAATGAGTGCCTGCTCCAGGAAGACTGCGGCGCCGGTGAGGAAATAGCCACGTCCCCCCGACACTACACATCCCTTCTCTGCGTTCATGCCATCAATCATCACAATCAGATCCACATGCGAGTACTTGCCACGCTTCTCGCAATCGCCAAAGGTCCGCTCGACGCGATTCTCCTCCTCATCGTTGGACACTGGCACCGAATCGTGCAGATGATTGCCGACCTCCCGCAGCGATGTGTTTCTGGTCTGCTCCGCCAGCTCCAGTGACTTTTGGTTCTCCGTCATGGCATTGTCGATGAGCACGCGCAGCTGCTTGATCTGATTCACCGTCAGCGGCTGCAGCGTTTCGGCCACAATGTCGGCTAGGCCTGCGGTGACAGCCTCAGGCAGCTCCTCGCTCATGGCACCCACTGGCTCCTTCTTCTTCATCTTCTCGCCAATCACCTTGCTGCAGACATTCTTCACCTTGTTCAGATTGTCAGCCCGATGACGGCACTGACGCCACTCGCTGTCCTTTGCAATTACAGTCTCCACCAGGGCGACATCTTTGAAGCGCCGCTTCTGGTTGTCTCGCACGGCATCGGGATTGCCGCCCTTGTCGCTGCGAAACAGATCCAAATCCAGCACCATGTCTTTGCTATGCTTTAATTAAGTTTTCGATTCGGTCAGATTTTTGTCGGCGTTTTCACAACGTGGCTGCGTTTTTGAGTCAGCTGTGCAGTGTTGCACAATGCCCAAAGCGCATACACAAGCACGAAAAATATTGAAATATAGCTCAAACTTATTTTAGAAAATAATATTTTTACTTCATTTCGGAAACACTAAGTAAGTAATTAGTCATATTTTTTAGGTTGCAAAATTTATGCAAGTTTTTTGCACTGCTTGCAGCCCTGGAACGTGGTCCCAGCTGTTCGAAAACAGTCCAATAAAACATAAAATACAACAAAAAACTAATCGGAATCCAATCACACCACTTCAACTGCAATATGGACTTTATTGAGCAGGAAGTTAGTGATTTTCGATCAGGCTGTGAGAAGAAAGTGCCGCACAGCAGAATTGTGATTTGCTCCAGCTCCCTCATCAGGGTTGACATCTACCCAGAACGACCGAATCGCTTGATGACCGTTTGCTTGCGTTTCCCAGAGGATTACCCAGAGATTACACCCATCCTGGTGGAGTTGAAAAGCCGAGCGTACTCGGAAAGGCTTCTCACCGAGCTGACCCGCCTGATTGATGACCATGCGCGGGAACATTTGGGAGAGCCGCAAGCTTTGCTCGTCCTGTCGTTTGCCCAGCAATATCTAACGGACAATCCGTTGTGCGTGTGCCTGGACGAGATAAAGCAGCTGAGGGTGGACATCAAGACTCGTGTGGTCTGCCCCGAGCAGCTCACCGCTGGAGAGGAAGCCTCTGCTCACGTGGAGAGTCAGCTAAAGCTGCGACAGAAGAACAACAGCGTCGAGTTGATAGCCAGAGGCGGCAGATACACCTACAGGGTGACGGCAGTCGTGCCCGACATCTATCCCGCTCAATGTGTGGAGCTGAAGGGACAGGAATCCAATTTGCCAGCAGTTCTTGTTCGCTACCTAAACGGCCAGTCCAGGGAGATTGCCCGACAGTGTGTGGAGCCGCCGGTCCGCCTCAGCAAGGATGAGTTGGCCAACTTTCGGCCAGCCAAGAGCCTTTATCGTTCGCTGAAATTCTGCCTAGAGGCCACCCGAGACTTTCATGTGGAACGTTGCCCGATTTGTGATAACACGGTCTTGCCCAACAATCCGACGGATGTGGAGCTGGAGGAGAATGCCGATGGCTACATTGAGCGTGTCTACTGTGGCCACCTCTTCCACCAGGGCTGCCTGAAGCAGTACCTGGCCGAACCACCATTTCCACGCGGCGGCAAACTCTGTCCCGCCAGGAGACGCCATCCCAGATCTGATGCCCAAACCTATATGGGCAGCAGGGCGGGCTCATCCGTTCAGGGTGTAGCAGCGTCAGCCAGCTCGAAGCCTTTGGATAATGCTGTGTGTGGCATCAAGTTGGCCCACGATCGTTGGGTGGTCAGTGTGAAAACGGCCGAGGCACGCTGGGCCCAGAAACAGGCACGCCAGCGTGAGCTGGAGGAGGTGGTGGATTTTCTACAATAAACAAGGGACCGGGATCAGCTAGATTGCGTTGTTGAATTTGTATAGCTATTGTATTTTGTGATGTCTTATCGAATACGCTTATATTTCTAAAAATGGAATAAATAAAAGTGATGATGAAGTGCGACTAGGTTGGGTTTTGCTGCTGGTAGGATGCCATGCCGAAGATAACTAAAATGTGCTTTAATCTGGAAGCCCCTCGAGTCCGACCTCTCAGTATTTAGCTAATAAATTCAGAAATCTGTGATTATTTCATCATCCTCGTAGCGCTTGATGGGATCTCCCTTGATAAGCGATGAAATTAGACTGTGAATGGAGAGATAGAGGAATAAACCAAATGTTGAAAACTCTTTTGAACTATTTTACTTACCAATACAACCCGACAAAGAACATGACAAAATAGTAGCCCAAATAGATCATGCAGTTCCTTAGGTGTACCTTTAACAAACCACGACTATGTATATCTACGGGATCGTAGACGCCTAAGCTGTCCCTTCGCTGGCGATGCAGCTCATAGAATAGCCACAGGACCATGGGCAGATTGAGCAAAAACATTATCCAGTGGCCGCCCAGCAGGAGGAGGCCGCACAGCAGGGCGTGTGAGCCGAATTTTGGTATTACCCAAAAGTTGAGTCGCCGACAACACTCCTGGGCGTTCAAATAGTCGCACTCCAGGTCGGCCAATGTCAGAACCTTTATGAAATTGTTTGTCAATACAGTTTCCATATATGTGCATGCAGAAATTCAACTCACATAATAAATTAACAGTAAAAGTATGGCCCCGTAGACCAGCAGGGTGATGCAGAAGATGGCTGTTTCGGGCAGAAACATAATTGCACTAAAGATTCACTTTTTCACTTATAAATATAACGTTTTTTAACTATTTCAGCATTTTTTTTGGTGTTTGATTTGTTTTTAATTAAATGGATATGAGTGTGACCGCGGAGTTGTCAGAAACATACAAAAATACATACCTTCTCGTTTTGAAAATATACCACAAATATACCGAGGGAAACACAAAACTTAACCCACTGGACCCCCTCTTTTTAAACAACTTGAGTTAGGCCGTTGAATTTAAGCGGATAGCCGATTTGGAGAATGTATAATTGGCAGACTTGTATGTGTCGATATAAAATGTACTGCATATACACTCCCACTTGACATACTAAATGTATGAAATGATCTACACAATTTTTCTTAGTGCGCAGATAGGGTCTTCATATCCGTTCATTTGATAAGGATTTGATTAGAAATCTCGTAAGATGGGTTATCTATTTCATGGGCACTCTTCAATTTCAAGTATTCTCAGAAAAGACTCGTATTCTCACTTCCTAGGTTAGTTTTTCTTTACCTACTTGAGAAAAAAGGTTTCGATTCACCTTGAAACCCGAACGGCAAAGATCGCTGGCCCGGCTGGACGGCCGATCGCCCGCCATACAAGCGAGGAGCTGCTCTTCTACCGTAACTGGAATTCGTTCAAGAATGGATTCGGATACATTTAATGCGACTTTTTCATTGGATTGGATAAGCTGCACGCCATAACGAAAGCCCAGACGCAAGAGCTGTACCACATACGACAGGGACAATGACATTAAAGCGGATCTTAACTGCGCAGTGGAATGCATGGGTGCCTGGTGGCACAAAAATGTGGAGAAATTCTTGGAAACCCTTTATTATACTTTGAATTCATCCAAAAAAGTAATCGGAAGATAAGAAAAATCAAGATTGGAGAGTATAAAAGGCGATACTTTCTCCCGGTCGCGGTAGTCAGTCGTCAGCTGATTAAAATGCAAGCAACGTGGGTCCACTGGTTGTTAGTGCTTTTCCTCTGCAAAAGTCCTCTTTCGAGTTAAGTCCTGAGGTGGAAGCTAATGAAAAACTTTGCTTAAGAGCGTCGTAAACGGAGCGGACAGTGGTGACTCTCAAAGTTTGAATGGGCTCAGCTCTTACAGCCAATGCCCTCTTGATGTCAGGGCCCATGGTATATACACTGTAATCCTTCCGATCATGGATCCCTTTCAAGTTTTCTGCGATGCAAAGATGGCGGGTCCAGGCTGGCTTGTGATCGCTCGTCGAACAACTGGAGATTTAAATTTCTATCGCAACTGGGCAGAGTACAAGCGGGGATTCGGGGACCTAGCCGGCGAATTCTTCATAGGATTGGATAAGCTACATGCCATAACGAAGTCACAGACCCACCAGCTATAAGTACACATAGAGGACTACGAGGGCAACAGGCGATATGCCCAATATGATGACTTCCTCATCGGGAGTGAAAATGAGGCATATCGAATGTCCAAATTGGGCGCCTTCACTGGTGATGCGGGTGATTCAATGGCCATATGCAGGAATCAGAAATTCTCGACCTACGACAGGGACAACGATGATTGGCAGGATGGAAGCTGTGCACACGCTCGCATTGGTCCCTGGTGGCACAGAACTTATTATGATAAGTATGTAAATTACTATTTTATTCATTTCAATGATTTCATTCTAATTTCACAGTTATAGTAGCCTTTTTGGATTGCATGTGGTGGGTACTGTGCCTGGACTGAGTTGGAAGGGAATGATGTGGCAGACTTTTAAACAAAATTATTCACATAAAAAAATTCAAATGATGGTTCGTCCAAAGTGATCTTCCCTTACAACTCAATATCGATGTACATATGTATGTATGTACATACTTACATAAATATCAAAATGTAAATAAATAAAATAAAAATTTGACTACATCTGTAATTACGAATCCAAGAAAACGAAATCTAACTCTATTCCAGTGTACAGTTACAGTTATTAGTTGCTTTTCTTTGCCTCAACTTGCCTAATCCTAACTTTCACTTTCTGGACTCTTGCCAACTTACGGAATGGCCCGCGGGAGGCTCGTCTGCATTGCAGAACTCAATTCGTACCTCAATTCGATCGTTGCAAAGTCTTAAAGTTATATTGAATGATAATGAATTGTCCACTTAAGCTTCATCTTTTGCTGTTTTCATGCTGATTAAGATACATAGGTCATAAATAAGCCGTTTGTTTAGTTCAATCTGAAAAGTTCTTCTAGTTCTAGTTCTGGTATATATTTTGGTTCGAAGACTTAGCTGCAAAGCATGAGAAAACATATCCCCTGACTGCCAATTTTATGAACGTTTTTATACCCGGTACTCGAAGAGTAAATAGGGTATACTGTATTTGTGGGGAATTACGGTTGTATGTAACGCACAGAAGGAAACGTTTCCGACCCCATAAAGTATAAATATTTTCTTTCTCAGCATCAATAGACGAGTCGATAGAGCCATGTCTGTCTGCTCGGCTAGTTGTCAGAGACTATAAGAGCAAGAGCCACCAAATTTTGAATCCAGACTGCTATATGCTCACACTGAAAACAGTGTATTTCAAAAATAAGGGGGACGAGCTAAAGGAGCGTGTTGGTGTGAGAAGCGTTGAAGATGTAGATGACAGATGGAGAAAAAATTTAAAATTTGACCAAACACCGCTAAGGTGCAGATGTAGTGGCGGGTATAAAAGTTGGGACGCGTAAGAAGCGCCTCACACGTCCCTTCTCGTTGTTTATTTACTTGAGCAGCTTCGCCTAGTTTAAAGCCCGAAACAGTGGCAAGTTTATGAATGAGTAGAATCATAAATTATTTATTTTATTGTTCTTGGAAAACTTGTATACATTTTAAGAAATCTAACAAAACTTACGATGATAAAAAAAATCTAGATTAGAAAGTGGCATAAAAAGGCACTATTCTTTTCACTTGTTGGTTAGTCGTCAGATAGTTATAATGGAAACAATCTGGTTCTACTTGCTGCTCGTGTTTTTCCTAGGCAAAAGCAAAGGACTATCAGATGTTGCAGAAGAAACTTACGCTCAAGCATTGGACTTTCAGAATCCGTACACCCAATGCCCTATAGATCCCAGTGCTCATGGTATTTATACCATTCAGGTAGGAAACCTCGAACCCTTTGAAGTTTCCTGCGATGCAAAGATCGCTGGACCCGGCTGGACTGTGATCGCCCGTCGTACAAGCGAGGAGCTGCTCTTCTACCGTAACTGGGATTCGTTCAAGAGGGGATTCGGGGACATCACAGGCGACTTTTTCATAGGATTGGATAAGCTGCACGCCATAACGAAAGCCCAGAACCAAGAGCTATACATATACCTAGAGGATTTTGAGGGAAACTCCCGATTCGCCCAATACGATGAGTTCTACATCGAGAGTGAAAATCAAGCATATCGAATGGCCAAGCTGGGACGCTTCATAGGAGACGCTGGTGATTCGCTGATCAGTCATAAGAACCAAAAATTTACCACATACGACAGGGACAATGACGTTAAAGCGAATCTTAACTGCGCTGTGGAATACATGGGTGCCTGGTGGCACAAAGATTGTCACCAGAGGTACGTACCATTTAACATTTTCTATTGTTATGAAAGTTGAAAATGTCTTGATTTTTAGCAACCTTTTCGGGATGTACCTGAAAGGCAGCGTGGACATATATGCAAAGGGAATGTGCTGGAAAGGTTGGCGCGGGTATTACTACTCATATAAAGTAATGCAAATGATGGTCCGTCCAAAGTGATTTAAATAAAGATGTTACTCTCTGTATATAAAGTATTCTTTAAGCCTAGAATTTAAACACGAAAACAGATTAGCGGCAGAGATGGAAACAGCATTCCGTATGCTTTTCTTTTGTTTACTTTGTGAAAATATTTGAAAAGTGAATAATCAGTTAATAACATAATGAATACCAAGTGGATCCAAGCAGAAGACTACGCTCGGTGAGAGTGGCGCCTCTTGTATTAGCGGAGCAGGACAATCAACGAAATAATCGCCGAAAACATTGAGTAAATCTGCTGCCATATCTGCTGGAAAGTAACAAGGGTCGTTTGAAGTAGGATTTTCCCCACTTGTCAAGATTATAGTAGGGATACATTTATTACAATTAGTTACACTTTATTTATCCAGAATCAATGTTTTGTACACGGCAAAGAACTCTTTTCCACACCACCAGCATTTGGTAGAGTTCAAGGCGCGTTTTTTTTTAACGTGGTATCCCCAGTAGCCTAATCCACGTCGCAGTTTGCCTGTTTAATTCACCCATCGAAGCGACGGGGTATCTGTTCTATCCTAAAATAGAAATTGTACAAAATTACATTAAAATAATTAAAGCGGCTTGCTTAATACTTTTTCCGACTTTTTACGCGTTCTCAACTTTCAACCAATCAAATTTTTCGAAATTTTTAAAAGTGTTTACAGTGTTGGTATATGGTGGGATATGTTGTATACTTCGCTGCGGCTATTCTATTCTCTTCTGTGTGCTTATCTACATATGTACGAACATGTTCCATACATGCATATGCATGGTGTGGAAAGTCTTGTGTGCAGTTTTGATTTGATCCACTTTGAACTTAAACCTAAAATCTAAATTTGAGTTACACTTTTTAATGAAAAATTAGAACAGAAAATATTTGGTTGAATTTAGAATTTTGCGTGTTCACAGCCAAATGTTGACTGACTATTCTCAATGTTCTCAACTGAGTTTTTATTTTGCATGGACTACTTGGTTTACATTTTATATGGAAAAATGTGATTTTGAGTTTTTTATGATTCAAGGCCCGATAGCCAAAAATGCTTATAAGTTGCGTTATCGATTGCCCTCTCAATGGCATTCGCAACGAAACGTGCTCTTTAGTTTTTGCTGGTGATGTTTTTAGTTTTAAGCTTGTTTGGCAATCAAGGTAATAAAGATAAGTCATGAAAATTAACCAATCTTGTGGGGAATTGAATGATAATTTGAGTAAAATTACAGTTTTAGAGTTGAGAGTCCTGACTAGCTGGTAATATTAAACATAAGATCAAAAACGAGGAAAATTATCTTTGATTTAAGGTATATTTACAGTATTTCCGACAGTCTATCGGTATATATTGTCGATAGTTCCGATAGTTCTCAAAATAACAACAAACCAGCGGACATTGTTTTGTGTTTGCAAGAAATTAAGTAGATTTTGTTGATATTCTTAGCGCTCCTGGCGATTCCTGTCAAAATGCAGTCTACAGGATGCAACGGCGTCAGCTGGCTGCGGAAATGCGTGCTACAAGCCGCTAGGAGAAACTACGCCGCCAGTGTCAACGTAACGCCCGCCGGCAGCACAGGAAAAGAGGAGCAACATTTGCCACCCGCGACGCCGACGAAATCCCTCGAGAAGATGCGTGGATGGCAGATGCACAGCTATGGCGATATTGATGAACTGCTGCTGTCCGACAACCTAAAGACGCCCCAAATACGCAGCTCCAATGAGTGCTTGGTGCGGGTGCGGACAACTGCCGTGAATCCCATCGATTTGGCCATGCTCCGTGGCTATGGGGCCACAGTGTTGAACAAACTGCGCTGCCAGCCGGGCGGTGGCATTGAATTTCCACTGACATTGGGCCGAGAATTCTGCGGCGAGCTGGTGCAGAAGGGCATGGCCGTGACATCCGAGGCACTCAAGCTGGGTGCGCGTGTGTGGGGTGTCGTGCCCGTGCATGCCAGTCCTGGGGCACATGCCGAGTATGTGGCTGTACCCTCATACTGTGTAGGTAGTTGATCCCTTAATCGATTCATTTAATGCAACTTCATTCTCTTTTCCAGCTGGCTCCAGCGCCCAAACTGCTGGATGACAGCGAGGCAGCCAGCGTGCTGTATGCAGGTTTGACTGCCTGGTCGGGTCTCTACATAACTGGCGGTCTGGGTGGTGTGTGTGGTGCCACCACATCAGCTGGCGGTGGCGCGCACAAGCGCGTACTGGTCTTAGGTGGCTCTGGCGGTGTCGGCACCTTGGCCATTCAAATCCTCAAATCGCAGGGCGCTCAGGTGCTGGCCACCTGCAGCGAGAATGCCGTGGAAATGGTGCGCGGCCTGGGCGCTGATTTCGTTGTGGACTACAAGAACAGCGAGGCCATGGATGAGCTGTGCAAGTACGCGCCCTACGACATTGTCTTGGACTGTGCGGGACACGGGGGAGCGCATGCAGCGGACTTGAAATTTGATTACCGGCAATACATAACCTTCTCCTCGCCATTGCTGGCCAACATTGATCAGCAGGGCCTAGGACTGGGTGCCATTAAGAATATGGTGGACTTGGTGCAGACAAATGTGAAATCCCTAACGCAACGAGGGGGACTCGTGAAGTGGGGCTTCTTCAATCCGGCACCGCATGGCATTGCATTCCTGCAGCAACTGGTGCGGCAGCGTAAGGTGAGTGGCAGCCTAACCACTGTGTGCATTTGACTCTAATCTAATTGCTTTTGCAGCTGACGCCGCTCATTGATAGCAGCTTCGGGTTTGAGGATATGCCAAAGGCCTTCGAGCGCATGAAGTGCGGACATTTGCGTGGCAAGATTGTGGTGAAGCTTTAGGGCGGGGCAACATGCGACTGATTCGATTTGTTATTGCTGTTTCATTAAACATTTTCTTTGCTGTTAGTTAATTAAAACATTGTGCGGTGCCGGAACAAACTGTGATACTTTGACCTGTCCAGCAGTCGCTGGCTTGTGACGCAGACGCCTAAGCACCCAACAAACTGCATTAAGAGCCGAGCCGAGCCGCTTGCCCGCGGTTCAACGACTGTATTTCAGCGACCCCAACGCAGCACTGACGCATATCATTATTACTTATATAGAAACTAATGGCGGATCGAAAGCGATAAGCACACCCGACGAGGATCACCTTTAAATCACCGTGAAAAAAAAAGGTCTTACAGCCTCCGGACAGCGGCTGCCTTATCGTCTGCGGCATCTTCTACGTACAGGCTGAAGGGCAATTGGTCGCCTCTTGGCAGCGAGAGGAGAACCCACTACTTCGGAGCTTTTTGCAGCACGAACTGATAATGTGCCAATCATGTGCACGCGTCTGCACCTATTCTTGGACGACACACGCCCCAATCTTGTGTGTAAATTTCCGCGACGGCCACTACCTGGCCCACTGGCCAATACCCCGAAATAATCATTATCAGAGACGGGTCCAAAGCACGCGGCATGCCCGAGCCAATCACAGCGCTCTCATGTGTTAACAACGCTCCGATCCAGAGCATCCAGAGCAAAATGTGAGCTGTTCCCTGCTATCACCAAGGTCGAGGCTTGACAAACAAAAAACCAACAAAACAACAGCCACCGTATCATGGTCGAAGACGGCGCAGCCGAAATGTGCACGCGTCTTTTGTTTTGTTTTGGTTTTTATTAATAGTAGCAGCCGCCGCTCTCAGCATTTGTTACCGGGCCCATTACCGTTCTATTGATACGCATGGAAAGACTAAATGGCCTGTTGATGGTTTGCTCTAGAAACCCCCGCTTCAGATAAGATCCTAATCTTTTCGTTTAACATTTCCATTATAAGTACATATTCATCAGAAGGGAGTCACTGCAGTTGTGTTTGTAGTCACATATAAAGTAGGAGACTTTTGGGGAAAATCATTTGGAAATTATTATCGCTTTTTGGAAGCCTTGCACTCACAAGTGCTTATCAAATTTTGTTTAAAATCATAATTTCTACGTAGCTTATGACTGGCGAAAGTTTCCGTATGTTAGCGAAAAGGTTTTGCCCATAGGATTGACTGAATATTACTTTGAGAACAATTTTCATTATTCATAGTTTTTAGATGAAGACAAAATTACGCCAATTTTTGGTGTTTATTTATTGATTTGAATATAGGAAAAATATTGGCTAAGTTATGGCACAATCGCTGACTGTTACCTAATATGTTTTCATTTTCTTATTTGTTGTTGCATTTATATATTCTATTTTTGTGGCTTTTATTTTGTATTTAAATTGTCACAATTATTTGATTTACAATTTTGGGTCGCTTGCGCTGACTAAATTGTGATTCTAAGCAACAAGCTAGCCCATTCATGTAGCATAATTATATCAATCCCTTATGGGTAGTGCAAAGACAATAAATGAGTTATGTATTTTACATTTTGTTCATATAAAATAAACAAAAAAGTTAATGCTATTTGAAAGGGACTTACAAGTATATAACCCCATTTAGTATTGTAATAAGATCTGTCGTCGAGGGGGTCATTGGCTTTCGTTTGAGGTTCGTTAGGTATGCAAGTATTTATGTGGCGCTTATATTTCTAGAACTTTTATAAATGTGTTTACAATTAGGATTATTTTGTTGTGTTTTTTCCACGTCAACTGTTGTCTGACGCAATGGGAAATCGTTTGGACTTTGTTGGGGTAGCACAAGGAAGTCGTCGCGTGGATTGTTTTTATTATGCTGAAGAAATAAAGTAAATACATAAATAAGTAGGAAGTTGTATTGTTAAATTTACTATGAGCTGATGCAATCCTTTCTTAAACCAATACTAACATCTTTTACAACTTTTAGTTTGCTCAAACTTTTGTTTTGGAAAATTATAATAATTATTTGCATTTGTTTAATTTGAAATTGGGTCTCGTACATACATAATTCAGTGCTCGGCGATTTATATACAATACAATGGAGTGTCTACAATTAATTTGATTTAATTCGGTATTTTAAGTGCACAAAGTTGAGAGTGAATGGAAATTAAACAAATAAACTCGGGCATTGCCATGGCAGCCCCAGTCTAGGATTCGAGTTTATTGTGGAATATTCTCAAGCACAGAAAACCAAGTGATATCAGTCATTCGATGCAGCTAATAAGTCATAGGAAACACCTCAAAACATTCCACTAAACACAAAATTAAAACCTAAATGCAGCGCAAAGTTTATGCAAATTTAACGTAGAAATTATTAGAGAATTATTTCAGAATGGATCCTGCCGGATCCCTGCTGCCACACATATTGGATTTGCTGAGTCGCCAGCCCACGCTCAGTGAGTAATTTCCACGATTTATGTAAAGGTACAAGACATGTATCCCATTCTTAGGCGCCGACGTGGAGGATCTGTGCAAAGCCCTGGAACCCCTTGTCACAGCCCAGCACATTGCTCCATTTGGTACGCTCAAGAAAGCCGTGAAATTTGCCATGGTTGTGGGCATTCATCTGGGCATAATCTGGCTGTCAAAGGAGCGTCAACGCTTGCCCTTGAACCTGCGCAGGACGAATGCGCTGGACATGCAGGCGCCTAAGCGCAGATCTGCACGAAAGGCAGTCAAGAAAACGGTGGGCAGCATAGGGTTTGCTTTTGTTTGCTAAAACTAATATTTTGTGACTGTCACAGCTGGCTTTGTCCCGTGCAAAGGTGACCAAAGCCCGCAGGCAGGCCATCAAGGCCCTTAGGAAGGCCTTCGCCAGAGGCAGAGCCAAAGCCAAGCGCCGTGCAGCCTCCTCGAGAGCCAGGCGTCAGTGTCAAAAGCGCAAACCACGGGTCAAGCGACGACGTTAGCAATCCAATGACTGTTTCAATACAAAAAGTGTCCACTGATCGTGCCATTGAACCTTGCCGTGCCAGAGGGGCTGGACGCTCGGCCTGACAACTGGGTTAACTCGGCGATGTCAGCTGCGATGGCGCACACTTGGACTAATTACCAGCGCATGGGCATTCACTCAAACACTCTTTCACTCACTCACTCACGGATACACCTGTCCTGGACAGCGTCGCAATTTCTATTTGATTTTTGTTCTTCAAATTCTTCAAAGGCAAAGACAGAGGGAGAGGGAGAGCGGCAGCAGCTTTTTTGCATGAAAATGAATTATTCAGTGGGGACTGGGGCTATGGCTGGCTGTGGCGATTCTGGCGCAGTCATTATGAAATCGGGTATGCTTAGTATTTGGTATTTGGTATGGATATTGGGAATTAGATATGCGACATTTGGTGGCCACCAAGCGAGCGGACACCCGTCCTCCCCGCTAACCGAATGCATATAAAGAATAAAGCAACTGCAGCCCTAGTTCAGTCTGTCTGCGGAACAAGTCGGAGCAATACGTGCACACCAAAAAGGATATACACAACACACACACACACACGCACACACACACCCAGCGACATATCCCCTCCTGTGGATCCTTTTTGCCTGATCATCCAAAACAGAGCGCACCAAAGGATACGCGAAAAGTGCAGCAGAAAGTGATCAAATATCTACATAAAAAGTGATTTCAACTGGAGTGACTGAGTGTCTGGGAGTGTGCCAAAGTCTAGTCGATTATCCAACCAAATTCAAAGACTCGCCCATTCCGATCGTTCCACCAAAGTGATACAAGAAATGTGAGTGAAGTGCAAAGACATTTTAAAGTGGCGTGTTCAGACTGTACATCTAATTCTTTTTTGTTTGTCATCGTATCAAAAATCGTATACCTGAAGGCACTAAAAGCAAAAAGGACACCATGAACACCTAAAAAGAGTGCCAAAAGTGCTATGGGCCAAAAAAATCACATGAATATCAAGTGCATACAAAAACTGAGCTACTTTGCAGAAAATAAGTGTGTTGGTCAGAATTGAATATCCATAACCAAAAGCCAAAGTTCCATAATCGCCTAGAAAGCCTCAAAAGAAACCGTAGATTTTGTACAGATTATATTTACTTTTGTGATGATTGGTAGAGAGCGATTTAAAGGAGCTTTCATACTTAAAAATCTAGAAAGGACATTGCCTTTCCAGAGAAACAAAAAATGCCTTCAAAATGTAACAAAGGAGAAAGGGAAGAGAGCGTATTTGATACGAGAGCTCTGTGAATTTTAGGGACACAAAGGCCCACAGAAATAACAAGAGTAATATTATAAGCCTAGAAGCATTCTTTGAAATCATTATCTGAAATAAATGTGTTTCAGAAATTAAGATTCGCCCGTCGAAAACAGTATTTGATTATATGTATAGATAGACTTTGGACCCATCATTATATTCCATTTGAAGTCTGGCACGCGCCTCACTGACATAGAAATTACGCCTATACGTAGAGGAAAAATTCGATCAGTTCAGAGCTTGTATCTGGGCTTATCGGGTCAATGTCGCTAGCTGCCACCTTCCCTATCCGCAGTGCAGTGCACGCGGGCAAGAGCTGGACTGGAATTTTCGACTATCTCAACAGCTCCCAGCAGTTCCCAGCGAAGCAACATGGCAACACGCAGTGCGGAGTCCCCCTAGATCTAAGGTGGAACATGCCGAATCAGCAAATCATACGACCAGTGCATAGGAGCCTATACATATACGAGTAGTCGTAGTTCCGATAAAGTAAAGGTGACTGCTGGCTGAAGTTGCTTCTGGTGTTTGCTGCTGCTGCTGCTGCTGCTGCTGCAACGCTGCCCCTTATCAGCCTTAGCCTCAGCCACGCAGTGCGACAAATATTCAAATCGCACCGAGAGTGTCGCACATTTTAGAATTAATTGCGACCAAGCCAAGCAAGCGCTCTTTAATCGCTCATTAATGCCGACTGGGCACTGGCGATTGCCAGAGCAGAGCAGAGCATTATTAGCAAAGGGAATGAATATTGCCTGAAAATGCTAGCAGCAAACTCTAAGAGTTTTGATCAAACTTTATACCGAATATTGCTCAGCCAATATTCCTGCTTCCCCATGTTCATTATATCCTTTTGTAGGCTCTAAAGTTTCAGGTCTACGAAGAGAAGTGTGCTTAGAAAGTCGGGGATTGCTTTAGTTATTTTTTGATTAAAACCCACCAAGAAAACGTTGAACGTAGAAATTCATGTGCTCCAAAGAAGAGTCATATTTACGTATTAAAATCTTTTAATACTTATATTTTCGAAAGGTTTTCTTTGGTTGGTTTCTAGCACTAATCATTCAAGTGAAGGTCGAAAGACATTAGATCAACGCAGATTGCAATACAAAACTTGTATCTATTGCATAAACTTAAACTGAGGAATATATTCCAGTAGTACTCGTATTCGTAATACACGTGCTTGACACTTTTCATTTTTTTGACCCCACAGATCTTGGCACATTACAGCTCGACGACTTCTTTTGGCGTCCAGTCTGGATAGGAGGGTTTTTTTTACCTTTAGCTTTGCCTTGCTCCTAGTAACTTAATCTGGGCCCAAAATATTTCCAGAAATTTGATGTCTAACAATTCTTCAATCCTTTCGACCCACCCAGATAGACAGACTGAACTGCCAGCGAGCCTGATTAGCACCCAAGAAGCCACATATACAGCCACAGAAGATGCCCAACAAGAAGAAAGCGCAGACGGGGACTGCAGCTGATTGTGGGGATGCCAGGGACGTGGTGATCTCGGGACTGTCGGGCAAGCTGCCGGAGAGCAGCAACATTGAGGAGTTCAAGTACAATCTGCTCAATGGCATTGACATGGTCACAGATGATCCCAGACGCTGGGAGGCAGGTGAGTGACGAACCCAAATCCTATTCGATTAGATCCTCAATCAACGATCGACTCTAGGCATCTATGGACTGCCGGAGCGCATGGCCAAGATGAAGGATGAGGATCTGGAGAAGTTTGATGAGAACTTCTTCAGTGTGCACCAGAAGCAGGCCGAGCTGATGGATCCCTGCATGCGAATGCTGCTGGAACTCACCCACGAGGCGATCATCGATGCGGGCATCAATCCCGCCCAGCTGCGTGGCACCCGCACGGGCGTCTACATTGGCTTGTCCTTTGTGGAGACGGAGCACGAGATACCCAACATGGAGCCGAGCACCATCAATGGCTACTGCCTGACGGGCTGTGCCCGTGCCATGTTCGCCAATCGCATCTCCTACACCTTTGACTTCAAGGGTCCCAGCTTCATCGTGGACACCGCCTGCTCCAGCTCTCTGGTGGCCCTGTCCCATGCCTACGCGGACATGCGTGCCGGTCGCTGCGATTACGCCCTCGTGGCGGGTGTGAATCTCATCCTGAAACCTATTTTTGCTCTGCAATTTCTCCGCTTGGGCATTGTCAGCATGGATGGCGCCTGCAAGACTTTCGATGCCGCTGCCAATGGCTATGCTCGGGCGGACACTTGTGCGGTGGTCCTGCTGCAACGTAGATCTGAGGCCAAGCGTGTCTACGCCTCCATCCTGAATGTGCGCACCAATACGGACGGGTTCAAGGAGCAGGGCGTCACCTTTCCCAGCGGACAAATGCAGCAGGTCCTGCTGCAGGAAACCTACAGCGAAATTGGCCTCAATCCGGATGATGTGGTGTACGTGGAGGCCCATGGCAGTGGCACACCCGTGGGCGATGATCAGGAGGCCAACATGTTGAGCAATTTCTTCTGCCATCCCGCAAGACCCACACCGCTGCTGATTGGCTCTGTCAAGTCGAATATGGGCCATGCGGAGCCTGCGTCGGGTGTCAGTGCTCTGGCCAAGATGATCATTGCCATGGAGGAGGGCATTCTGCCCAGCAATCTGCACTATCGCACACCCAATCCAGCGGTGCCCGCCCTGGTCGAGGGCCGCCTTAAGGTCGTGGATCGTAACATGCCCTGGCAGGGCGGCATTGTGGGCCTCAACTCGTTCGGTTTTGGCGGTGCCAATGCCCATGTCATTCTCCGCTCTCACGGGAAATCCAAGGCGCCAAAAGCCACACCCAAAGCCACGGCGGAGGAGCAATGCCTCAAGCTGGTGGTCTGCTCGGGTCGGACGGAGCCAGCGGTGCAGCAGCTGCTGCAGGTGGCCACCGACCAGCGGCACGACGATGAGTTCTTGGCCCTCATCAATGACATTCACTCGCATGCCATTCCGCTGCATCCCTTCCGCGGCTATGCCGTGCTCGGCCCCAGTGGCGCACTCAAGCAGGAGGTACTTCCATTTGAGGAGGAATCGCGACCCATTTGGTTCGTCTACGCGGGCATGGGCAGCCAGTGGGCCAGCATGGCCAAGGATCTCATGCAGCTGGATGTGTTCCGGAAGTCCATTGAGCAGTGCGCAGAGGTGAGTCGTTGGGGTATCTTATATTTGGTCTACTCTAGGTCTTACCCCTAGCTGATTATTTCCATTCGAATCTGCAGCTTATCTTGCAAAAAGTAATTCAGATCCTATCGGTACTGCGACCTTGAAATTTTCTCTTTCAAGTTCAAGTGCGACAAAGTTTTACTGCATACATACATACATACATACATACATACATACATACATATGTAAAATGTGTATCCATAGCATGGCAACAGCTGAACTTTGAGCAAGCCAAAGTTGTGGTCCAGCATTTATGAAAGCCTTTTCCAAAGCCATTTAAATTAAATTTAGTATTTGTATTTTGTATAGCTATAACCATTTAAAATAATTTGATACATTAGTGGCTTTTATTCCCAACTAAATTAGTTACTAATCACGGAAAATTTTCCATGGAATGAGAAAGTTATCCACGAATTATTTAGTAAATTAACTCCAATTTATTTACATTACTCTCTCTCTCTTCAATGCGAGTGCATTTGTATGCAAATATGCCCATGTATGCATACTGCAAATTGTTGCAATTTATTTGACTCTAACTAACGGGGTTTGTGGTAAGCGCACCACGCTCAGAGAGACAAGCGCTAGAAAGGGATGGAGATAGAGTCAAGGTGAATCCTCCCCACAGCGGACAACGTCAGCTTGTAATTATATTCACCTTGGTGAGGATCAATTATTCCCCACGTTCTCTCTCTCTCTCTCTCGGCTCTTGGTTTGCTGTTGCTTTTATGCATGCGGACAAGTTGTTGGTAGCCGAAAGAGATTTTAGTGTGGTGAAGACGTCAACGTGTTAGTGAATTCTTTGCTGTTTGATGTGCCTTAAATATGCATTTGTATATGATTTCATGTTCTTATGTGCGTGAATTTGCCTGCAATTATGTACTTACTCAGTTTCTCTCTTTCAACCACTCTTCTGCCATTTCAGGTGCTTGCCCGCGTGGATTTCGATCTAATAGACGTTCTCACACGCTCCACCGAGCGCACCTTTGACAATATGCTCTACTCCTTTGTGTCCGTGTCTGCTGTGCAGGTGGCACTGACGGATCTGCTCAAGACACTGGACATACAGCCCGATGGCATTATTGGCCACTCGGCAGGGGAGCTTGGCGCTGCCTATATGGATGGCTGCCTCACGGCCGAGCAGACAGTGCTGGCGGCCTACTGGCGCGGACGCAGCGTGCTGGACACGCCCGGTCTGCCGCGTGGTAAGATGGCAGCCGTGGGGCTGAGCTGGGAGGAGATTGGCGCACATCTGCCCGCGGATTGCTATGCGGTGTGCCACAACAGCGAGGACAATTGCACGGTCTCAGGTCCTGTGGGTTCCATGGACGCAGCCATCGAGCAGCTGCAGTCGGAGGGCATCTTTGTGCGTGAAGTGGGCTCCGGCGGCTATGCCTTTCACAGTCCCTACATCGAGGGCGCAGCACCAATGTTGCGCAGGAACCTGGAGCGTTTGATCACCGAGCCCAAGCCACGCAGCGAGCGTTGGCTGAGCACCAGCGTCAGGGAGCGGGACTGGCAGACACCCGAGAGTAGTGTGGCCAACGCTGGTTACTTCATTAATAACCTCATTTCGCCGGTGCTGTTTCAGCAGGCTATCCAGCACATACCACAGAACGCGCTCATTGTGGAGATTGCGCCACATGGACTCTTCCGTGCCATACTCCGCTCCCTGGGTCCGCAGATCTCCTACGTGTCCCTCATGCAGCGTGGACATGCCAACAATTATGAGTTTCTGCTCAGCCAATTGGGCAGACTCTTTGCCTCGGGGGGACAGCCGCAGCTGCTGCGCATCTTCCCGGAGATAAGTTATCCCGTGTCGCGTGGCACGCCCATGTTGGGCTCCCTCGTGGGCTGGGATCACACGCAAAAGTGGAACTATCCCAAGTTCAAGGGCGGCCGACAGTCGGGACAACTGTGCGTCGAACTGGATCTGTCCAAGGAGGAGAATGCCTTCCTGGTGGGCCACAACATCGATGGGAGAATACTCTTCCCTGCCACGGGCTACATGACGCTCGCTTGGATGATGCTCGCGCAGCAGCAGGGAGTCGACTATCTGCGCACTCCCGTGCTCTTTGAGGACGTCGTCTTCCATCGTGCAACGATCCTGAGTGCTGGGAGCATCGTGAAGCTCTCGCTGAACTACTTTCCCGGCAGCAGCAGCTTTGAGATTTGCGAGGGCAGCAGCCTCGTGGCCTCCGGCAAGCTGCGTCTCGTCACGGATGTCACTCAGGAGCGGCTGCATCTGCCCTCGCTGCCCGGCACTGCGGGCTCCCAGAAGCTCGCCACGAAGGACATTTACAAGGAGCTGCGTCTCAGGGGCTACGACTACAGCGGCGTCTTTCAGGGCATCCTGGAGTCCGACATTGCCGCGGTCACAGGTCGCCTGCAGTGGGTGGACAACTGGATCAGCTTCATGGACACCATGCTGCAATTTCGCATTCTCAGCAATGACATTCGCGAGTTGTACGTGCCCACGGGCATTGAGCGGGCTCTCATCGATCCGCTGCGGCACATGGAGCTGGTGAAGCGACACCAGCAGAAGCTGCCCGTCCACTGGCATCGCAACATCTCGGTGGTCACGTGCGGCGGCGTGGAGATTCACAAAATGAAAACTGCCCAAACGCAGCGCAGGTCCGGGGGTCAATCTGCGCCCAGTCTGGAGCGCTATCGATTCGTGTCACATGTGCAGCACTTGGGGCAGCGCGAGGATCCGCAGCGCACTCGCAGCACCGCGCTGGCCGTGGCCATGCAGCTGGTGGTGGAGAACAGTGGCTGCCCCGTGAAGCTGAAGGGCGTGCAGCTCTCGCCGGAGCCACTGCATGCCCTGGAGCTGCTGGAACTGATTGAAAGGGAGCCCATTCTGGTGGCAGATCTCGCTGTGCTGAGTGCTGCCTCCTCCGCGGAGTCCGAGCTACACGAGAAGCTCAAGGAGTCGGGTGTGAGGACCATAACGAAGGATCTCTCTGCAGGTGCCGTGGAGCAGCAATGTCACTTTGTGCACGCCCTCGATCTGCTCACAAAGCACAGCCTGAAGGACCTCGAACACTGCGTGGATTCCCTCAAACCCGAGGCTGGCTTTCTGCTGCTCGAGGACTCCGCCAGTGGCTACAACCTCTCAGGCCGGGATAAGCTGTCCAAACTCCAACTGCTGCCCGTGCTGGAGCACTTCTTTGGCACTGATCGCGTGCTAATCCTGGCCAAAAAGCGACCCAGCATGGCCCAGACTCGTGGCCTCGTTGTGGCCATTACGAACAAACATTTCAAATGGATTTCGGAGCTCAAGAGCGCTCTCAGCAAGGCCCAAGCGGAGCAGCGTTGCCTCTACCTCGTGGCTCAGGGGGAGGCCAGATCGGGCGCTCTCGGACTGATGAACTGCCTCAAGCGGGAGCAGGGCGGCAACTGGGCGCGGCTCTACCTCATGCTGGATGAGGGTCTGCCGCAGTTCGCCCTCGAGGAGCCCTTCTACGCCGAGCAGCTGGCCAAGGATCTGGCCATCAATGTTTACAGTCACGCCAGTTGGGGCAGCTTCCGGCACCTCAAGATGGAGCCCCAGCAGCATCTGCTGCCCGTGGAACAGGCCTATGTCAACACCCTCGTCAAGGGTGATCTTTCCTCGCTCCGTTGGATTGAGAGTCCGAGGAGCAGCCAGCTGCCGGCCAAGGGCAACTTTGAGCCCTGCACCGTCTACTATGCGCCCCTCAATTTCCGTGATGTGATGCTGGCCTCCGGCAAACTCGGCGTCGATGCACTGCCCGGGGATCTGGCCTTTCAGGATTGCGTTCTCGGCCTGGAGTTTGCGGGTCGCGACTCGCAGGGTCGCCGCATCATGGCCATGGTCACGGCCAAGTCGCTGGCCACCAATTGCCTGGCGAACAGGAACCTGCTGTGGGAAATACCCGACAACTGGACCATGGAGCAGGCTGCCACAGTGCCTGTGGTCTATGCCACAGTGTACTATGCGCTGGTGGTGCGCGGACAGATGAAGAAGGGTGAACGCATCCTCATACACGCGGGCTCTGGAGGAGTGGGTCAGGCAGCCATCTCTGTGGCTCTGGCTCACGGACTCACTGTGTTCACGACTGTGGGCAGCAAGGAGAAGCGCGAGTTCCTGCTGAAGCGATTCCCCAAGCTGCAGGAGCGACACATTGGCAACTCCCGCGACACATCCTTCGAGCAGTTGGTCATGACTGTCACCCATGGCGAGGGCGTGGAGTTGGTCCTGAACTCCCTCTCCGAGGAGAAGCTGCAGGCTTCCATTCGCTGCCTGGCACTCAATGGACGCTTCCTGGAGATTGGCAAATTCGATCTAAGCAACAACAGCCCCCTGGGCATGTCCGTGTTCCTCAAGAACACTTCGTTCCACGGCATCCTGCTGGACAGCGTGATGGAGGGTGAATCCGAGATGCAGCTGAGGGTGGCTCGCCTCGTGACGCAAGGCATCAAGAGCGGCGCTGTGCAACCACTGGCCACGACTGTCTTTGCGGACAAGGAGATCGAGAAGGCGTTCCGCTACATGGCCTCGGGCAAGCACATCGGCAAGGTCGTCCTGCAGGTGCGCCACGAGGAGGAGCAGAAATCTGCGCTGCCCAAACTGCGCCAGATCAGTGCCATTCCCCGCTCCTACATGCACCCCGAGAAGAGCTACATTCTGGTGGGTGGACTCGGAGGCTTTGGCCTGGAGTTGGCCCACTGGCTAGTGTCCCGCGGCGCTCGTTTCTTGGTGCTCAGCTCCCGTTCGGGCGTGAAGACTGGCTACCAGGCGCTCATGGTGCGCCGCTGGCATGATCGTGGCGTTCAGGTGATGATCGACACGAATGATGTGACGACTGCGGTGGGCTGCCAGCGGCTGCTGGAGAGCAGCAACAAGTTGGCGCTGGTCGGGGGCATCTTCAATCTGGCAGCGGTGCTGCGGGATGGCTTGTTTGAGGATCAAACAGCGAAACATTTCGAACAGGTGACGGCTCCCAAGCTGCTGGCCACGCAGCACCTGGACACACTCTCCCGCGGCATGTGCCCCGCGCTGGAGTACTTCATTTGCTTCTCCAGCGTGTCCTGCGGCCGTGGCAACATTGGACAGACCAACTACGGCCTGGCCAACTCCGCCATGGAGCGTATTTGCGAGCAGCGGCAGAGCGATGGCTACCCGGGCACGGCCATACAGTGGGGCGCCATTGGGGACACGGGTCTGATCATGGAGCACATGGGCAACAATGACACGGTCATCGGGGGCACCCTCCCTCAGCGGATGAACAGCTGCCTGGAGACCATCGATTGGTTTCTGCAGCAGCCACATCCTGTCATGGCATCCATGGTGCTGGCGGAGAAGCGCAAAACGGAGCAGACGAATCGCCTGAGTTTGATTGCAACGATAGCTAATATTATGGGTCTGCGGGATGTGAAGAGTGTGCAGGATAAGACAACGTTGTTCGACCTGGGCATGGACTCCCTAATGAGCACAGAGATCAAGCAAACCTTGGAGCGGCACTTCGACTTGGTGCTCACAGCCCAAGAGATTCGCCAGCTGACATTCAGCGCGCTGAAGCAAATCGATGCACAGGAGCCCAGCACAGCGGCAGGAACGAACACTGTGGCCTCTGCAGCTGGCACAGGCGGCACTGCCGCGGATCAGATTAAGGGACAGGGACAGAGCGATGAGACTCGCAAGGTATTCGCCAAGGAAGTATTACCCCAGGAGGTGCTCGTGCGTCTGCACTCAAGGGCTGCGGTGGCCAGCGAGGAGCCTGCCGTTTTCTTCCTCGCACCCATCGAGGGCTTCACAATTGCCGTGGAGGCTCTGGCCTCCTCACTCACCTGCCCCGCCTATGGTCTGCAGTGCACCGAACAGGTGCCCCTGGACTCCATCGAGGCCTGTGCCGCCTACTATCTCGGGCAGATTCAGCGCCTGCAGCCGCGTGGCCCCTACAACATTGTCGGCTACTCCTATGGCTGTCTGCTGGCCCATGCCATTGGCGTGGCCTTGGAGCAGCGACGCTTTGGCGTCAAGGTCATCATGCTGGACGGTGCCCCGACCATTGCCAGCGGCTATGTGCAGGAGGCCAAGAAGCAAACCGACGACCTCAATCGACAGCAGTCCATGACATTGGCCTACTTTGGTGCTCTACTAGCCGATGTGGATTATAATCAGGTGAGGTCTTGGGTGGACATACCTTTGATTTGTATCATGCTAATTCTTTTTACTGCTGGACAGCTTCTGCAATTACTGGATGGCGTCAAGACGTGGCCTTCGAAGCTGGACAAGCTGGCCGATACACTGGCCGGACACACGCAACAAACCAAAGAAGTGGTGAGTAAACTCTGTCAAGAAAAGGTGCCACAGAATGGGAGATCAATCTTTATCACTGTTCCAAGCACTCAATAATGTAACGGGCTCCTTTAAGAGGGTTTTCTTAACCCTCTTATAAGTTCCCCTATTTTTCCTACTGCATTCATTTAACTTTATTTATATTAAATTTTGATTAACTTATGGTGGGTGTAGTAGATATGTGCATTATGTCTGTCATTGCTTCAACTCTTTCCTTATTCATTCTGCATTATTTATAGACATCTTTAATAGTCTCGAATATCACAGTTTCCCCGAGTACAGCGAAACTCAAGTATTTGTATAAATATTTGTTGTTATAGGGAGCGACTACTGACTCAAGTTTTTATTTGTGTTTGGTTTTAATGCTCTTGAGGTTTTAGAAGTAGTTGCAATAAGGGGTATACATATGTGTGTTATGTGAGTGGCAGTTTCTTGTTCAAATGTAGATAAGGAATGCGTTTATGTTTATTATAAATATTGATAAATATTTACCATAAGGATAAACAGAAATATAAGAAAAGAAAACCCAAACTTTCTACAGAATTCCGAGTATTGGCGGATACTCAAACCTTCTTCTTTTAACTACAGAAAGATAATGATTTCCATTTTCATTTCATATCTTAAGATTTGTTCATCCCAAGACAGCTTTCTTCATTCACTTCTTCAATTCCCTTTCTACCCCTTCTTACTCCTCTCGCCAAACAGATCAAGAAAGCTGCCTGCATGTTCAAACAGAAGCTTTTGCTCTCGGAAAGCTACAAGGGTGCCAAGCAGCTGCACAGCGACGTGGTGCTAATCAAATCCGCCGAGCACAATGCGATAATGGCACAGGACTATGGTCTCAAGGAGGTAAGCACCGATCCAGCTATCCATAAGCTTACGTTACGTTACGTTCCCGACTTTTGCAGATTTGCAGCGCACAGATCGATATGCATGTGGTGGAGGGCACACATCGGACATTCCTCAAGGAGGCTCAAACGTTACAGATCCTCGAGCGTGTGCTGAGGAAACGGATCTAGTTGATAGCATCATGATTTACTCTGTAGCTGTTAATGTATCGTTATATTGTTTATGTATACCAATAATACACGTAGCAATCTCACGGGATTGTATAAGTACTCGTACTAGAAGCGATCTAATGCGAATTTGTTTGGTTTCTGGACACGCGACTGGGATCGTGGCGCTCGCATGATTTACGATGAATCACGATTGTCCGGCAGTAGCAGCAGCAGCAACGGCAGCGGCGGCGGCCTTTATATGACCCGTTAAACAAAAATCCAATGTACCTTTCCATAATTGATAATAATACCAATTCCGATTCCTATGTACTCTACATTTTGGTGTTCTATCTACGAACAAATCTGCCCAGACGAATAACAGTCGCGTCGCGCTATGTCTGCTTCGTACACACTTATACGAACATTGTACATATAAATATGCATGTTACGTATAAGAGAGAGCGTGTGTGTGTGTGTGTGTGCTTTCATATAAGACTGTAGTTAGTAGCAACAAAAAAGTGGTCCGATTCCCTGCTCTATGGCGGGGACAAATCAAAATTTGTACATCTTTATCACGCAGGCAACAGCTGACCGGGCCGGAGGAACCACTTATCGCTGTTAATTTCGAATTTAAATGCTGCACAAAATGCTTAACTACAGACACGCAAATCATTTTACAGAGCAACAACAGAGGCCCTACACACTCCCAAAGGTTAACACCCAGAGAGAGAAAGCTTATCTTCTGCTGGTCTCTCTCTGCTCTTGTGGCGATGCGAAAGCTTTCGGCCGCGCCTCATATAAAAGACGTCGCTCACCTGATGCCTGGACTATTACCGTTTTATTTTTTCGCTGGCAGACGTGAACGTGATCGAACCGTCTCACAGTTGTCGTGCTTTATTAACCGCAACGCTTCAAACACAGTGTGTCTTTCGCCTCCATTAGACGGGCCCCAGCCACAGTGCAAAACGAAGAGTGTAGCAAAATAATTTGCAAAGAAAAAAGAAAAACGCTAACGGCAACAAAACGGAAGGAGAACAATAGCAAAAGGAATAGTGCTGTGTTTTTGTATTGGTTAATTGCAAAAGTAGCGTAGCTAAAGGTTTCGAAAGTCAGTCAGGACCAACTGCACCCAGAAGCCCCAAGCCTACCCACTGCTCCAGAGCCATTTAGCCAGAAAAACAGCTGTCAAGAGGAATCGCCTGATTTTTAGGTATGTACAAAAAGTAAAATGGCAGCCGCAGGAATAATATTGGACTCCCGACCAAAGTGTGTGTGTGTGTGCTTGAGTTCATGTGTGCGTGGGAAAGAGCAGCAAATAAAAATACGGACACAAAATATAAATAAAATGTAAAAAAAAATTGAATTTAAGTGATAAAGTAATGGAAAAAAAATGATGGAATCATCAAAAGTTAAAGATTTAGGTCCACCTTAAGTCATGGTGAGAACTTCTTTTTTTGTTCTACTCCAAATGATAGTTTCAGGTGGAAGCTGCAGAAGCATCTAGAGAGTTGCAAGAGAAACTTCCATTAACTACGCTTCAGACTCCACTGCAGAAACTGTTTTTGTGAAACTTTCGAACTAATATTTTCCAATGTATTTGCTTGGCTAGCCCCCCAGCTAAAAATACAAATTACTAAATTGGAGAACATTTCCCGTTTGCTCGATTCGCACTTGGCATGCAACGTTTTGACCTTTAGGACCTTTAGCTTGGGCCCAAACAGTGCCAAAAGTGTTATTCTAAACGCCCCCTCCACTGCCTGGTATTGCCCCCTTGGTTGCACCATTCCACAACATTGCTACAACGAATTACAGTTGCTAATTGACAGGGAGGATGAGAGAGAGAGAGATAGATATAACTAAGGAAGGCGTTCTATGAAAGTTTATTGGCTTCTCGATAGGGTTTCTCCTCCTAATTGCAGACGGAAGAAGCAGCAAAACATTTATTTGTAAGATTTCCCATGAAAAGACTATCAGAAATTCAAGCTGAATAAGGCATAAAACAAAAAGAAATGCAAATTTGTGGCCAAAGCGAAGCCTTAAATACCCTTTTATGTGCCTCACATATATATGGGAAGATAAAATATTTAGATTTAGACTCAAATATTATTTCTATACTCGTATCAAAAGTATAGCTGATTCAGCTAGAGAAATTAATTTGAAGTCAATATTAAAACTAAATTAAAGTACATAAAAAATGCGCAACATATAGCACCCGTCTGCAAGGGTATCAAAACAAACCCAAATTGGATGATAGGAAAATTTCGAGTGCTTTATCAGCAGTTTGTAAGAATGTATATAAGCTTCCTGTTCTACACGCGTTTGGCATCGGGCCAATAGTTCCGATCAGGTGCAGAATCGTATGAGTAGACAGCGGCGCGACGCCTTATCAGCTCTGCATGGAATCACCCCATGGCCCACCTTTTGGTGTTATCAATTATCGCTGAAGATCGTGAACTTGAGGCGCGAGGCATTATCAGCCTCTTCTCCGCATAGTTTTAGTGGGCGAGATGAGAATGAGGACTAATTGTACATAGAAGAGTATGGGGTGTGGGGTGTGAGGTGTTGGGTGTGAGGAGGCAGCAGCCAGTACACGTGAACTTGAGTCTCCTACCAGCCCTACCCTGGACAAAATCGATAACTGTGAAAATAGAACCGAGTGCATAAATAAACAATGTAGAGTGCCCAAGACCTCTCCTCTAGGGCGGGTGACACTGTGGGAGGGAGGCGGTTTGTTTACATGTTTGCTTATCTAATGACGCAATTTTTAGCAATATGGCCTGATGATGGGTGACACACAGTCAGTCAGTGGAGTCTGATGGATTCCGGAGAAATCAATACAGAACCGAGCGCTGACAATCAAAGTAAAAGGATCAATAGAGGGTTATGGATTGTAGCCCAAGCAAAAACAAAACAAACAATTCGGGGAATGAAATCAGAGATGCAGCAAAAGCCTAAACTATGAAAGTAATACTTGAATGAACTTGAGAAATCACGCCACCTTATCTCACTAAACAAATGGTACACGCGTCCAGCTCATGTGTGTGTGTGTGTGTATGTGGCTGCTTCTGTGTGTGTTCCGGTGGTTGGCATGCAAAATTTTGAATCTCACTCGCTCTGACATATACAATTACTATGGCAACAAGAAAGTAGACATGAGTAGCGAAACATTTGATACCCTTTCCAGGAAAGTCATTTAATTTTGACGATAAACTCTAGTGTTGCTACATTAGAGGACACCCAGCAGACAGTTACAAGATATTTTTAGTAATTCCTATTTTCAAATATTTTGATCTGATTTCACTTCTTGTCAGCTTTGGCAAACCTCTGTTAATTATCATAATACCTCTTGCCTGAGTATAAACATAAACAACGGTAAGCCCTCTCCCACTCGCTCACTCTCACAGTCGCTACCCACAAAGAGGTGAGTATCGCTTGCCGGCAGCAGCATAGTTTTTCGGCTGTACGATTTTCGTTGTTCTTCTTCATCTTCTAGCGACGCGTCGCTCTGGGGGAGACCGCCAACTGCCTTCGTCACTTACTTCTTTCCCTTTTGTTGAATCATTCTTTCTGCACATCGTACGAGTTTCTCGGCGAATGAGAAAGCAGCTTGTCTTCTGTTGTGCTTAGGGGGATTTATTGCGTGAGAAACATGGATAGAGAGAGAGGAGGAGTGAAGGAAAGGGAGTTATGTTGTGTGGTTGTGTTGTGCCTATGTTAACGCAAACCATGTTGCACTGTAATTGTTACTGCCACATGTTGCCCCTTGACAGCGGCTGTTAGGCGGTGGCATCGCATCATCACGCCACGCCACGCCCTAACCTAGCAAGCCGCCCATAACAAATATGCAGCCACTTGCGCGGCAAAAGCTCCTCCAGAAATCACCTGATTTGTAATATCTATACTAACTTTCCACTGACTGACTGCCTGCCTGCCTGCCTGCTGCTACTGCCCAGAGTCTGCCTGCCTGCCCATTTGTCTGGCAGTACATACACCGGCAGTACGTACCGGTACACCGGCTTGCTTCTGCGCCAGCTTCGCAGAGAGCGAGAGAGAGAGAGAGAGAGCAAGACTGTGCTTTGCTCAGCTGGCAAAAGCTTTCCAGCGGCTGATTAACAGTGCTGTTAGGCATACTATTTTGGGCGCCAGTGTGGCTGATGATTAAAGAAAATTATTATTTTATTTATTCAGCATTCGAATTTTGTAAAGCTATAAAGGTCGATAAATGGACAATAAAAACATGACTAAGCAGGCTCTTTGTTAGACATTTTAAACTAACAAAAACGATTACTGCCAATTGAAAATATGAGAAAATACCATCGAAAATCCTATTCTGTCAAATGGTTCAGGCTGATTTTAATTGTTACTCCTTGAGGTATGCAATCCATTCGGAGGGGAGTGTAATGAGTGAAGGAATGGACAAATGTTGACCTAAACAGTAGCGTTTTCTCTCTTGATTGTACCCAGAAAAAACTGATAATTTCCCTAGTTAAAATTTTCTATATTTTCCTTGTGCATTTTTACAGACGCTACACTCAAACCTGTTGCAAGCCGTGGACCAGCAGCATCCTGTTGCCTTCAAGAGCAATCATCAGAGCCAAGAGCAGCAGCATCATTCTCCAAGTGGCCAAAATAACGGGAAAAGTGCCCGAGCCAATCGCCGTCGCCGCCGTCGCAACAAGCAGCAGCAGAATTCGCATCAACCTGACGCCTTCAAGGAGCCAGACGACACGCAGATAACACCGAGCACCTCCACCTCCACCCACGCCACCCACTTGCACACGCACAACCACAGTCAGAACCCGGACCCGAACGACACTCATAGCCCCAAGATGCCTGCCCGTTTTGCCGAAGAAGTAATCACCGCCGAGCCTGCCACTCGTGCCGCACCCCAATTGGACCTGGGTGGCGGACACTATGTGCCGCGGCAGACAGCGCTGAACGATGAGGTGGCCATCACTGGATTCTCCGGTCGCCTGCCCGAGAGCTCCAACATTGAAGAGTTCAAGCAGAATCTGTTCAATGGCGTGGACATGGTCAACGATGATCCCAGACGCTGGGAGCGCGGTAAGTTAAACAGAAATCCTCCTAGATCCTTCAGCTAAAGTTTGGTATTCCAACTCCTTGCA